GCCGCGCCCGCCCCTCCGCGTCGCCCCACTGGGCCGCAGGCTGCGAGCGCGCGGACCGCAGCAGTGCGCGAGCCTCGGAGCGCGCGGTACTGTTGGGCAGCGCAGCGGGTTCGCCGCACGCACGCCGGCCCGCACCCAGCCGACCGCCCTGCTCGTGCCAGCCCTTCTCACCCAGTCAACGGCGCGCCCAGCGGCCATGACCGCCGAGGAGATGAAGGCGACAGAGAATGGGTCGCAGTCTGCGCCGCAGCCCCTTGAGGGAGTGGACATCAGCCCCAAGCAGGACGAGGGCGTGCTCAAGGTGAGGAGCCGCAGGCCTGCGGGCGGCAGCTGGGCCCCGGAACCCCCAGGCTGCAGTCGCAGGGTGGGCATCGCCTTCCCAGACCCGGGCTGAGATCCTTTGGATGGCGAGGTTGCTGCACGCTCGGGAGGGTGCGGCTACTGCGCCGTCCCAGGCCCGGGAAGGAGCCGCCACTGCAGCGCCAACTCCGTCCGGCTACACCGTGTTGCTGGGAGGGGCGGGGCGCGCGAGCCGCTGCACTGGGGCCCGGGTGGGGCGCACGAGGCCGGGGTGGCGGGACACGGTCCTTGGTTCCAGCTCCTCATCTCCCTGCCACCCCTCGTCCACAGCGCGCCACGGGTTGCCCGGCCGGGAACTCCCCAGGGCCATCTGGGCGAAGGTGCACCAGGGCTCGCCCACCCTGAAAGTTAAACATTAGCCACGATTCGAAGCAGCTCCTGGTAGCAGTTTGCTGGCCCTGAGCCCTTTGTGCTTCCCTGCGTCCCCTTTGCGGACGCCGAGACCCAGCGAGGTCACGGGCTCGGCCATGGTATGCCCCCTTCCTCGGCCTGGGGAGAGCAGGAGCGGTGCATGCCGGGACCTGTAGTTCCCCTCTTATCTCGCCCCTCCTGGGCCTTCCTGAGTTAGGGTTCGGGGTGCTCGGCGTGGGGGAGGTGCTTTGCCCTGGTGCCGGCAGCTCTGTTAACCGTCTTGCTGCAAATAGCCCGAGGAGAGAGAGGGAGGGCGCCCTGACCCAGGTCAGGACATTTGGCGCCGGTTCAGGTTCAGAGCAGGTTCTGCCGGCAGTCTAGGACGGTTAAGTCCCAGCCCCATTTCGTGCACACCCTGCAGCCATTGTTTCTCCTCCTCCTCCTGGCGTCCCATTGCTCAGTTCTAAGTGTATGTGTGGCCTGTGCAGAGGCAGAGACCTCAGTGAGCCTTGACTTGGTCCAGAAGTGCTCCTGGCTTTACCCCAGGTCTGCACCAGCTGCTACCCTGTGAACATGTGGCCCTTCTCTCTCTTCTGAAGGTTCTGGTGCTTGGAAGGGTCAATTCCCCTCTCATCCTCCACTCTTTCCCTTAGAGGACAACTCCACATCCACCAGGTGGCACATAGGGTAACCTTTTATAAATGCTGTGGAGGAGCAGATACCTGTACATCTCTGGGAGATACCCTAGTCCTGAAATAAAGGGCTCCCTTAGCTGACCAGGCAGGGGGCCTAAGGGAGGCTAATTTTCCAGGGCCTAAAGGAGACCTTTTGTAGTCATCTGTAATCTGACCTTTCCTCTTCCAGGGGTTGAACTGCTCTGGGCTCTTCTTTATTCCTATTCCTCTTTATCCAAACCAGACCTTGATCTGTGAGCAGAGGAATGAGGAAATGTAGCATAAAGACGTCCCTTTTAGCTGCTGGTAACTCTAACCTTTCCATTCAGCACTTTTATCAGTTTGGCAGTTTGGCCTGTGAGCACCTACAGGAGATGGGATTTGCCCTCAGTTCTTCACAGTCAAGTTCTGGAGAGTTTAGGGACTTGTCCAAAACCATAAACAAAACTTGAACTCTGGTCATTTTATTACTTCCAGTTTTTCAAGGCAGGTCTGGACAAACCTCAAGAAAGATTAGGTGGTTAGCTGAATCTTAGCTAAACCACTAGTATCAGAATCGTTTGAAGATTGACCTTGGGCTGAAAAAATGACTCAGGATTAAAAATGCTTGCTGCTTTTCCAGGGGATCTGATGCTTTCTTCTGGCCTCTTCAGACACCTGCGTGTTTGTGGTGCACACACACATATAATAAAATAACATTTTGTTTTTAATTGGTCTCTTGAACTTGCTTACAAGGAGACATGGAGCAATGAGTGTGTTCCTTGCAGGTAGTTTGGCCCCTTTCTGCCCACATCCCTGGATACTCACTTTCTCCCCACTTCCTCCCAGGTCATCAAGAGAGAGGGTACAGGCACAGAGACACCCATGATTGGGGACCGAGTCTTTGTCCACTACACTGGCTGGCTATTAGATGGCACAAAGTTTGACTCCAGTCTGGACCGCAAGGACAAATTCTCCTTTGACCTAGGAAAAGGTAGGCATGGGTAGTGGCCTGGCAGGTAGCACCTGTCACAAGCAAAGTCTGTTCTCAGCCAAACTTCAGCCAGGCACAATGATACATGCACATGTTCCCAGCTGCAGAAGCTGGGACAGGGGAATCACTTGAGCCCAGGAGTTCAGGGCAGCTTTGGTGACATAGCAAGACACTGTCAAAAACAAAACCAGAACCAAGTTCAAGAAGGATTAATAGTTGGTTAATAATCAGTCTGTTGCCTGTCATATGTTTTTGTTCTATCTTTGACTAAACCAGTTTCTCTCCCTCTCATCAATTCTGAACACCTTCCTCCTTGGGGTGGGCTGGCTAGCTTCTTGAACTCTTCTTGCAAGGTTGAGCAGCCTTTTAACATGCTGAAAATGACAGCATTCTTGGCTTCTTGTTTCCTGGTCCCATTTCTAAAAGTGTTTGGATTCCCTTAGGTATAGTACACAATAACTCGTCTTTGGGGACACTAACCCTAGAGTTAGGTCCCTAAGCAGGTCTCATTTGCCTTTACCTACAGGGGAGGTCATCAAGGCTTGGGATGTTGCTGTGGCAACCATGAAGGTGGGGGAAGTGTGCCATATCACCTGCAAGCCAGAATATGCCTATGGTTCAGCAGGCAGTCCTCCAAAGATCCCCCCAAACGCTACGCTTGTATTTGAGGTAAGTGCTGGCCACAGAGATCCAGGCAGAGCGCCAGACCTTATCTCACCCCATTGTCTGGCTGCCCTCCAGGCCCTTCCTGCCTCTTGGAGACAATGTAACTGACTCTGAGGGCCTTAGGAGAAGTGGAGAGGACAGCTGGCTGTGCTGCCACCACAAAGTAGCTAGCAATGGAGGCTTTGGGTTGGAATAGGAGGCCCCAAGCCCTTCCAGAGTAGAAATGCTTTACAGTGGTTGAGGCTTTCTCAGTTGAAAGGAGTCAAGAGGACACAAAGCATTCGAGGTCATAGAAGACGGTGTAGAATATTGGCACCCTAGGGCCCAGGAAGGAAAGATGGCTTCCCCATGGGTTAGGGGTTGAAGCAGGGCTTCCCCTGATGGGACAACCTGAACCCATTCTATCTGAAAGTGGCAAGCCAGTCAGTGGGCATGGGAGCATTCACAAGGTTATTGAGAGATCCCAGGTCACTTCTGATGCCATGTTCCTGTGCATGTTGACTGGAGCAGAGTGGCAAATAGATTGTCCTTCTGAAGCCAAGTGAAGTCCATGTGGCCTGCTGGCCTCTGCCAAAGTGCAGGTCAAGTGAGCTCCCAGCAGCTTGGCAGAGGTACACTGCCCAGTGCCTAGTGTAGTCCACGAGCTCAGGACAGCTTTGGTGACATAGCAAGCTATGCTCTGGCAATTTATTGGCAACTCTTCTGGGTAAGAGGCAGTTTGAATAGTTGGTACAGAAAGGAGTTGGTCACTTTTGTCTCATCTCACAGGTGGAATTATTTGAGTTTAAGGGAGAGGATCTGACAGAAGATGAAGATGGTGGAATCATCCGCAGAATACGGACTCGGGGTGAAGGCTATGCCAAGCCCAATGATGGTGCTATGGTAGAAGGTGAGAAAGTTTAGTCTGTAGGGTGGAGAGAAGAGTCTAGAGTTGCATTTGAATCCTGGTTCTGAGACATAAGGTCTTGGGTAGTTTGGAGCAAATCATTTCCTTTGTCATAAGCGTTTTGTCTCATCCATAAAGTGAGGAGTTAGACCATACTTTGAGCATCTTCAGGTCTAAGAACAAAAGAGATATCTTGGGCATAAGTGAGGGGAAGACATAGGGAGGCTGGTGGCAACTCCTCAATGCCCTGCCCTCTCAAACCCTGGCACATGCCTCTCTTTCATGCCAGTGTCACTGGAAGGGTACTATAAGGACCAGCTCTTTGACCAGCGGGAGCTCCGCTTTGGGGTTGGTGAAGGGGAGAATCTGGATCTGCCCTGTGGACTGGAGACAGCCATTCAGCACATGGAGAAAGGAGAACATTCCGTTGTATACCTCAAACCCAGGTGAGGCGTGGGTACTTTGTAGATAGGCATAAATCAGGTCCAAGAATGATGTCCGGTGAGCAGAAGTTCTATTTATACATGTCATGTATTAACTGCTACTTGAACACAGCACAGGCCATAATGACCACTGTATCTAGAAGTGTGGCCACACCTGTCCACATTTCTGTGGAGCAAGCCTGATCATTATTACCCCTCACCTGCCAACACGTTCCTCTTCCATTAATGTATTCATTTATTGAAATAGACCTACTGTGTGCCAGACATACTGCTGCACATTCCTAGGACTTCAAAGCCCATTGTTCTTGCATCATCATTAGTTGCCATTTAAATCAGTTATCTCAATTCTGTAGCTAAGCTTCAGGAGCAGGATGTAGAAAGTGCTGTGGGGACCACCAACATGTGCGAAGAGGTTAGGGAAAATTTTGCCAAACAAGTCCTTGAACCAGGACTCAGGATGAGACCGTGCTTTCTAGGAAACAAGCAGGAAGCCTTTTTATTTTTAGCCCAGGGCAGACTAAGGGCAGTGAGATGACCCAAGCACTTTTCACCCCTACAGCTATGCTTTTGGCAGCATTGGGAAGGAGAAGTTCCACATCCCACCCCACGCTGACCTGAGATACGAAGTACATCTGAAGAGTTTTGAGAAGGTGAGTTTGTTTAAGGCCTGCCTTCCCTGTCCTGGAGACAGGTCTAGCCTGTGTGCAACCCTGGGAAAGCTAACTGCTCTCTCTCTCCACTGGGCTATGGCAGGCCAAGGAATCTTGGGAGATGAATTCTGAGGAGAAGCTGGAACAGAGTGGCATAGTGAAAGAGAGGGGCACTGTATACTTCAAGGTGAGCCAATAGTCACAAGCATACCAGGGGATGCTGTAGATCATTTCCTGTCACAGTATTGATGAGTTGTATCCATATTGCGACCCCTGTAGTCTTCACCTAGTGTCTTTGCCCACTGGTCTGAGAGGGAAAGGGTGGGAATCTTGTGTCTCAGGGTCATTGGTATCTACGAGGTAAAGCAGCCTGGTGCCACTGAGCCTGCACTGGGTACCTTAGTGTCCCTACCATTCTAGGAAGGCAAGTACAAGCAAGCTCTACTGCAATACAAGAAGATCGTGTCTTGGCTGGAGTACGAGTCTAGTTTTTCCAGTGAGGAAATGCAAAAGGTCCGTGCTCTTCGACTGGCCTCACACCTCAATCTGGCCATGTGTCACCTGAAACTGCAGGCCTTCTCAGCTGCCATAGAAAGCTGTAATAAGGTGAGATTCTTTCAGAGGATGTGGAGACAGCAAGTACAGGCAGGGCTGCATGTCTGAAACACACCCTCTCACCAGGTAGGGTAGTGGGAAACATCAGTGGGCTGAGCTACAGATCCAGAGGTCTGATGCAGCAGTAGCATGCACTCATGCTCAGAGACAGGCGTAAACAAGGAACAAGCCTTGAACTGGGAAGAACTAAAAGGCTTTGGGGGAGACTGGATTTTTTTTGTTATATTTCTTATCATTTTATGGAAATGTCAGAGACCTATTCTTCCTTGTATCCAAAGACCTACTGTCTTTTCTTTCTTCCTCTTGGATCAATTGAGTTTCTTCCTGTGCCATGATCCTCCCACATTTAATGCCTCAGCCTCATTTTTTTTTTCTGAAGTGACACCAGTCATTTCCACAAAGGCTCATCCTGTTCAAGGGTCCCTTGGGAATACAATTGAGGCTTCAGAGCCTGAAGTCTTGTTGCTTCCTCTCTGCCCTTAGGCCCTGGAACTGGATAGCAACAATGAGAAGGGCCTCTTCCGCCGGGCAGAGGCCCACCTGGCTGTAAATGACTTTGACCTGGCACGGGCTGACTTCCAGAAGGTTCTGCAGCTCTATCCCAACAACAAAGCCGCCAAGACCCAGCTGGCCGTGTGCCAGCAGCGGACCCGAAAGCAGCTTGCCCGAGAGAAGAAACTCTACGCCAACATGTTTGAAAGGCTGGCCGAGGAAGAGAGCAAGGTAAGGATAGAGGTGGGAATGGCTACAGTGGACAAAAAAGATGTGTTCTTAGCCACCTCCTCAGCCCATCAGGTGTGTGCTCTTTGTGCCTGTGGTTGTCTGTGCCAGTTCTAGAAGCCAGAAGTTCCTCTCTTCCCAGAAAAAAACATATTCTCTCAGTAATGACCTCTGCTGATAGAGCCAGTATGCTTCTGTGTGCAGCACTGGGAGCCCACTCATAGACTGTGGGGCCAGGAGTTGGTTGCTGAGTACAATTCCTGACTTTTGTACCTAGAGCCTTTGAAAGAAGCCAAATGCTTTGTGAGGGGCAGTGGGGTTTTTCTTGGTGTTAAGCATTGAACCCAGGGCCTTGAGCATACACTCCCAGCCATTGGGGTGCCTAAAAGGTTACATAGTCAGATCGCTGCCTCCCCACAGAGCACCAGAGCTTACTAGTTCCTGCAGCAATGCACTGTCTGCATAGGCAGGCACATGTTCATGTTACTTTGTTCTTCCTGTTAATTCCTGTGTGGGTTTTTTTCCACATATTAATAATTGGGTTTTTTTTTATTGTTTTTTTTAAATCACTAAAGTTTTACATTATTTCTTATGCTAATGTATTCATGTGTGTGTGCATGTGCGTGTGCGTGCGTGCGTGTGTATGTAGCATATCTTAGTTAACCTATTTGTTACTGTTTCAATGTTCTTAACATAGTCCAAGAGAAATAGAATACAAATCATACTTTTTCTAGTTGCCACATTTAAAAAGGTAAGCATGGGTGCACTTTTTTATTTAATGTGTATAAGTCTAATTCCTGCATATAGGTTATGTTCACGTTCACCCATGTCGTGCAGTTCCTGCATTGGTCAGAAGAGGGTGTCCGATCCCCTGGAACTAGAGTTACAGTTATTAGCTGCCATGTGGGTGCTGAGATTTGAACCTGGATGTTCTGTAAGAACAACCAGTGCTCTTAACCACTGAGCCATTTCTCCCGCCCCCAGTTTTTTTAAAATAAATAAATAAAATAGTGGAATTAATAGTAACACCTTTAAAATATTTTTGGTTGTCATACAAAGAAATGAATTTAAAAATATGGAAAACTTCAAAAAATTTCTGTGATATCCTTGCTTACATCTCACTCCAATTTTAATATATGTACTGTTGAAGCAAACACAAAATTAATGTTGGACAATATTTTAGTTAACACGGCTGGGAGCCCACTTGGTAGAGTGCTTGCCAAGGTTTAATCCCAGCACCACACACACACACACACGCACGCACGCACGCACGCACGCACGCACACAGAAAATTCCAGTTAGCTTAAGCATCTGAAATACAGTGACACTCAAAAGTCCTTTATTGAATGACCTTGTAAATTCATAGTGTGCATATGTACATGTTTGCTTTTAGGACATTTCTAAAATTGCTGTGCCTGCACTATTCTGTTAGAAATTGTCCGTTTTTTTACTTAGGAATTCAGCCCCTTCCTCTTCCTCTCGTTATAGGCCAAGGTGACTACAGGAGATCATCCCACAGACACAGAGATGAAGGACCAGCAGAACAGTGTGGCAGGGACCCAGTCTCAAGTGGGGACAGAAGCCTAGCCTGTCTCTTCCCTGCCCACCCCTGTGGCTGCCTACCTCCCTGCTCCCTTCCCTGCTCCACCCTGTTAGTTTTGTAAAAACTGAAGAATTTTGAGTGAATTAGACCTTTATTTTTCTATCTGGTTTGATGATGGCTTTGGGAGAAAGGAAAAGAGCAGGATGGGGGTGAGCTGTGGGGAGATAGTCTTAGATGGTGTCAACCCCTTTCCTTCTTACATATGAACATGTATGTCCATCCACACATACTCATAAGAATGTTAATTTATTTTGCTCCCTGTTTGTTAGGTCTGTTTTTCAAGTGCAAAAGGGGGCAGGTGGTAGGGATGAGGTCTCATAAAAAGCCAGGGTGGAGTGGGAGACTCCTGAGGCAGCCATTTTCCTCATCCTTTCCCAAGTGTGTGGTCTCCCTGTCAGTGCTAGGAGCATGGGAAAACCACTGCTGTGCCCATTATCTCTTGCCTGCCTTACCCCACCCAGATGGTATGGCTGATAATGCCCTCTGATGTCAGTGATCACCTCTAGCCAGCCCTTTCCTGTACTTCCCTCCCATCAGTTTCCCTTCTAGCCAGGTTGTCCCCACTCCTACCCCCTCAGCCTCTTTTCTGCACGTTGCTGAAGGTCCAGGCACACCTCAAGTCCTGTGCTTGAGCAATAAAGTGGAAACAATGAAACCTAGGTGTCCGGCAACCCTCTTGTGTTCAGCTCCCGGGTAAGATATGGTGGGTACATATGGGCAGGGGCAGAATGAAAGGAGTCCTGCTTACGTGCAGCATTTGATACAAGACTCCATGGTAAGGCAGGAAGCAGTCACACTGTGCATGCCTCCTGAGCCCCAGTGCAGACTGCAGCCCCAACTGCACCAGAGTTTCACCCATGGGTTCATAACAAACCCTGCCCAGCAGGAAAGCACTTCTGGTTTCCTTCCCAAACAGAAAAGGATAAAAGGTCAGCAGAATGGACATAGTGATTCTGAAGTTGGACTTGTACTGCTCCCTCTGCTCTGGCAGGCATCCTGGGCTTCCTTGGTTTCTTATGGTATAAAAACTTATTGTTGCAGATTGCCTCAGGTCAGATACCTTTTACATGATTAAGGTATTGGTGAAGAACAGCGGCGACACCAATCCTTCTCAGCCTTAGGAACATAATGTGCCTCTTTTCTCTTTAGCCAGGTGGCCCATGTTAGCGATGCTGAACCTCCTCCTGATAATCCTATAGGCCAGAGCTCACTGCCCATACCCTACTGCATGTGTTGTCTGGTCCTTCCCAAACAGGAGTGGGGCAGTCTACCTCATATTGTAGAAGATGGATTTGTGTGGAAAGCACATCAGTTCTCCAACATGGCTGGTTCTGGAGCTTCTCTCTTGCTGAGTGTTAATCTAGTCCTGTGCTGGAAGTTTATGTCTGGTTCCTTTTGGTATTTTCAACTTGAACCCTTGTTCTTTGCTCTCAGTGATGATACATACCTAGCCCTTGCTAAATTGTGAAGCACTTAAGGAAAGCTTAGCCCTCTATCCAGGCCCTCCTGTGGTATAATCTTGGTCCTCACAACCATCCTATAAAAGAACTATGACCCTTTTTATAGATCAGGAAATTGAACCAAGGCTTAGAAGGACAGAGAGCTCAGTCACTCAAACACTTGCTGTGTAAACATGAGGACCTGGGTTCAGATAATTTCAAGAAAATTTTAAGAGCCAAGTGCAGCAATGCATGCATATAGGCACAAACAGGAGGGTCCCCAGAACTTGCTGGCCATCCAGTTTAGTCCAATCGGTAAGCTCCAAGTTTAGCCAGAAACACTTCTCTTTTTTTGGGTCCTTTTGAGATGGTCTCCCTGTAGCCCCAGCTGGCTTGGAACTAGCAGAGATCTGCCTGCCTCTGCCTCCCTGGTGCTGTGAATAAAGGTGTGCACCACCACGCCCTGCTAAGAAATCCTCTCAAAAAATGGAAGCAGGGCTTAGTGGAACATGCCTTTAATCCCAGCACTTGGGAGGCAGTCTCCCAAAGGTGTATCTCTAGGTTGGAGCACAGCCTTTTCTACATAGCTCCAGTCCAGCCATGGCTACATAGAGCCTATCACTAAATACAAATAAAAGAGCTAGAAGGGGGCTGGAGAATTGGCTTAGCAGTTAAGAGCACTGGCTGCTCTTGCAGAGGATCCAGGTTTGAGTCCCAGAACCCACATAGTGGCTAACAACCATCTGTAACTCCAGTTCCAGGGAGTCTGATGCCCTTTTCTGACCTCCATAAGCACTGCACAACATGGGTGTACTTTGATACATTCAGGGAATATACTCATACACATAAAAAATATTTTAGCCGGGTGTGGTGGCGCATGCCTGTAGTCCCAGCACTTGGGAGGCAGAGGCAGGAGGATCTCTGTGAGTTCAAGGCCAGCCTGGTCTACATAGTTCCAGGCCAGCTGGGCCCTGCTTCAAACAGACAAAAAAAATAAAAAATTAAATATTTTGGGGGGAGTCTTGAGACAGGGTCTCTAGCCCCAGCTGGCCTGGAACTCACTATGTAGGCCAGGCCAGCCTCAAACTCAAAAGACAGATCTGCCTGCCTCTGCCTCCTGAGTGCTGGGGTTAAAGATGCACACCACCACACCTGACTTATTTCTTAAAAAGAGGGGTTGGAGAGAAGGCGCAGTGGTTAACACTGGCTGTTCTTGCAGAAGACCCGGGTTCAAATCCCAGCACCCGTGTGGCAGCTAACAACTGTAACTCCAGTTCCAGGGGATCCAACAGCATCTTTCCTCTATGGGCATTGCATGACATGGGTGCACTTACCTATATGCAGGCAAATACATGCATACACATAAAATAAAAATATTTTTAATTTTAAGAAAAGCTAGAGAAGGCTCACAGGTTAAGAGCACTTGATGTTCTTCCCGAGGACCCAATTTTAGTTTCCAGCACCTACATAGGATACTTCAGAACTACCTTTAACTCCATTTCAGGGACATCCTCTTCTGGCCTCTGGGCTTTTAAAATTCTTAAGCAGTGGGGAACTGGAGAGACAGCTTAACAATCAAGAGCTTGCCACTCTTGCAGAGGACTGGGGTTTGATTCCCAGCACCACATGGCAAATTGCAATTATCTGTAACTCCAGTTCCAGGAGATCCGACACCCTCTACTGGCCTCCACAGGGAGTGCATACACGTGGTGCACTTCAATGCAAGCAAAAGACACAAGTGTTTTTAAAAGTTTTTAAGAAACTGAAGTGATTGAGGAAGATGCCCAATGCTAGCCTCTGACCTCCACATGTATAAACATAACACACAGCAACAACAAAAAACCTATCTGGCTAGAGATGGCTCAGCAGATTTGTTCTTGCAGAGGACCAGACCAGTTCCCAGCACTATGTTCACTTCCCAGCTCATAAGGACCTGTAACTCCAGCTCCAGGAGATCTGATGCCCTCTTCTGGCCTGCACCAGCACTGCACACATATAGTAAATACACAGATTACATATACACATAAATTAAAATCTCTAATGGTTAGGGATATATGAAACCCTAAATTAGATCCCTAGCACTGCATAAAACTTGCATGGTGGTGCACATTTGTTATCCCAGTACTTAGGAGGTAGAGGCAGGAGGATCAGGAGTTCAAAGTTATCGTCAGCTACATGGTAAATTCAAGACAGTGAGACCCTGCCTCAGAAACTAAAGGTGTGGTAGCACATGCCTTTAATCCCACCACTTGAGGTGGAGGGAGGTAGAGACCAGCCTGGTCTACATAGTGAATTCCAGACCAGCTGGGGCTACTTGGAGACCCTATCTTAAAAAGAAGAGGGAAGGAGAAGGGAGGGAGGAAGGGTGGATAGTTGAGCGTAGTGGTGCATGCCTTAATTTCAGCATTCAGGAGGCAGAGGCCAGACAATCTCTGAGATCAAGGCCAGCCTGGGGCTACAGGATCATCCTGTCTCAAAAAAAAAAAAATTTTTTTTTTTTGTCTTTTTGAGACAGGGTCTCCCTGTAGCTCCAGCTGTCCTGGAACTCACAATGTAGACCAGGCTGACCTTGAACTCACAGAGATCCTCCTGCCTCTGCCTTCTGAGTGCTGGGATTAAAGGCTTGCACCACCATGCCTGGCTTCAAAATTTTTTTTAACTTAAAAAAAGTCGGGGCTGAGAGCGGTCTGCATCCCAGTTCCCTATCTGCAAGTTATGTAACCTCTTCAGAGGATGGTGTGATAAGAATAGGAAATAGGAATTGGCCAGGCAGTTAGGGTAGAAAGACCCCAAAGAAAAGTAGCCAGTTTCTTGGCTAAAACAGTGTCCTTGGGCCTCTTAGCAACATACTCCGTCCCAAAGGCCAAAAGTGTTGAAAGTATTTGGAAGCTTTTACCTAATCCTTAAAAGATTTTAGGGTTACCTCTTCAGAGGGGAGAATGTTAGTGTAGCCAAAAGTCCCATGTTAGTGTAGCCAAAAGTCCCATTAAAAAAATAAAAGAAGAAAGAGCCGGGCGTGGTGGCAGATGCCTGTACTCCCAGCATTTGGGAGGCAGAGGCAGGCAGATCTCTGTGAGTTCAAGGCCAGCCTGGTCTACATAGTGAGTTCCAGGACAGCTGGGGCTACAGGGAGACCCTGCTTCAAAAAGGAAAAGTACATGAAGTTATCAGAAAAAAGTGATGGGGAAATATGTGAAGAGTTGAAGGGGAAGGAGTGGGCATGGATTTGATCAAAACAACTTATATGCATGTATGAAATTCTCAAGTTATTTTTTTAAAAAGGGCTGGAGAGATGGCTCAGCAGTTAAGAGCACCAACTCCTTTTGCAGAGGATCCAGGTTCAAGTCCCAGCACCCCATGGCAGCTAATAACCATCCATAACTCCAGTTCCAGGGATTTCAACACCCTCTTCTGACCTCTGCAGGCCTTGAGTGCACTTACAGTCATGCAAGCAATACAGTCACACATAAAAATATTTTTTTAAGTCAAATAGAAATGTCTGCCTGATTATAAAACTACATGAAATCGGATAGGAGATACTCGGGGGGTGGTGTAGATAGGGTAGAGGTTTAAATATGATCAGCATGTATGAAATTCCCAAATTTTCAATAAAAAATGGGAAAAAAAAACCTACCTGAAGATAAGACCTCTGAATTAATCCAAACTACCATGAGGTTATGTGACTCTGGGCAAGTCATCTAATATGTATGGCTAAAATGCACCCTAAAGTCCTGTCTCTGAATGCTGCTTGGGATTCTGAGAACTTAAAACCTGACTACCCTTTTATAGAACACTAGAGATGGAAAAATTTTGTTTACTATAACATTAAAACTGGTTCGTGAAGATGTTTTGATAAAGTGATTAAGTCTTTATGGCTAAAAATAGTTCTGCCACATACGAACTCTGCACTGGGCCACTGCTCATGTTTTCCAGGCAGCTGCACCTTGCTCAACCCACACTTCAACTTTTATGTAAGGAATGTGCTCAAATAAGAAAAACTACCTGTGGCCAGTGCTTCCAGCTATTAGTGCAAATTTGCAGGTAGTCCCTCTCTGCAAATAAACTGAAATGGAGCTCTGTAAGTTTCGCTGCTTAAAAACCTATAAACTGTTACCTCTCCCTACATTGTCTCCCTTCGCCATCCCTCCCCAACATCACTCTGTGCCTCTGGCCTACTTTCTTTTAAAAAGCATTTTCGGATCTGGAGAGATGGCTCAGCAGTTAAGAACACTGGTTGTTCTTGCAGAAGACCTGGGTTCGAATCCCAGCACACACATGGCAGCTAACAACTATCCATAACTCCAGTCCCAGGGAATTCAACAGCCTTTTCTGTCCTTTGCATGACATTGCATGGCAATACACACATACATATAAAATAAGGGAGAGATGGCTCAGTGGTTAAGAACACTGGTTGTTCTTGCAGAAGACCTGGGTTCAAATCCCAGCACCCACATGGCAGCTAACAACTGTCCGTAACTCCGGTTCCAGGGGATCCGACAGTCTCTTCTGTCCTCTGCAAGCACTGCATGACATAGGTGCACCTACATACATGCAGGCAATACACACATACACATAAAAAAATATGAAAAAATAAAAATTTTTTAAAAAGCACTTTCATCCCACCTGCATGTCATACTGCATCCAAGGCTTGTCCCTCCACTCTCAAAGGCTTCCCACCCCCCCTCAGACTGAAGATAAGAGACTTCTTCATGGTCTCCCACAAAACCTGCAAGGCCTGGTTCATCCTGCCTTGCCAGCTTCAGTGCACTGGCCGACATCACCCTGAGGGTGACCTGGAGGTGAGTTGTGTGTCCCATTTCAACTCAAGAAAAAACATATGAAAGACACTTAGAGCTAAAAAAAAAAAAAAAAAAAAGTACTTTTATAAGAAATTCGCTGCTGGAAGAAAATAGAGGAAGATCCATCCACACAGCTATGCAGGACATAGTCATGTGTTCCACCATTGTGAACAATGTACTCAGTCATTGATGCAAGGTGGAGAGGTGTAGTGTACAAAGACTTTGGCTGAGGATGGCTCAGTGGGTAAAGTGCTTTCTGGACAAGCATAAGGACCTGGGTTCAGATCTCTGGCACCCATGTAAAAGCTGGGCATGGCAACACATGCACAGCCATAACCCCAGCACTGGGGGAACAGGTAAAGACAAGGGGATCCAGGGGGCTTGCTGGTTAGCCACACTAAGTGAAATGATGAGTTCCAGGTTCAGTGAGTTCCTGTCTCAAAATAGAAGGTGGAGAGGCTACTGAGGAAGACATCCCAACGTCAACCTCTGATCTCTATATGTGCCCACATGGGCTAACACCCCCCCAATACATGTGCATATATGCATACACTACACACAAAAATATTTAGTTCATACCTTGTTTGTTAGAGACTTTTCTTCCCTTTCTAACTTTATATGGCTCTCTTGACAAAAATCAAAGACATGGTATCCAAGTAGTAACTATAATGGCATGACCTTCATGGCAAACAAATGTACAAACAAAAACAGATACCACCCTGGTCCTGCAAACTTCATAGAAAGAGGCCCAAATGATGGGGAGGATAAAAACCAAGGTATCATGGAGTACTGAGTAGGGAATGATTTTAAAGAACTGGGTCAGGACCAAGCACAGTGGCGCAGGCCTTTAAACCCAGCACTTGGGAGGCAAAGGCAGGATTTCTGGGAGACCAAGGTCAGACTAGTCTATATAGGAGTTACCCTAGCTGGGGCAACTGGGAGAAGCTGTCTAAAAAATCAAAAGAACTGGGTCAGGCCAGGATACATGGTGACAGAAGCAAGCTGACAACAAAGCACAAAAGTCAAATTAGTTAACTTTATAGTTAGACATATTTACATTGGCTTTGTTTTCTCCTTAAAATTGTAATGGGGCAGTTTAGCTGGGCGTGGTGGCACACACATTCAATCCCTGCACACCTGAGGCAGAGGCAGGAGGATCTCTGTGAGTTCAAGGACAGCCTGGTCTACATAGTGAGTTCCAGACCAGCAGGGCCTACAGGGAGACCCTCAAAAAGACCAAAAAAAAAAAAAGTAATGGACTGGAGAGATGACTCAGCAGTTAAGAGCACTGGTGAGAAGACCCTAGTTCAAATCCCATCACCCACATGGTGGCTAACAACCATTCATAACTCTAGTTCCAGGGGATCCAACGCCCTCTTCTGTCCTCCCTGGGCACTATACAACACAGGTGCACTTACACATAGGCATAATACTTATAAAATAAATTTTTTAAAAAATTAAAATCTTAATAGGAAGTTTTGGGTTTGAACTAGGATGACCACAGAGATGTGGAATACACAAGGTGAGGCAGCATGTAACCCCTCCATGAATGAGATGAATGTTTTGCATAGGCACACCTGTATTACCCAGGTTTTTTGAATGGGCCTAGCCACCCTCACAGCATACTACCAAAAGTAGAAACTGTAAAGGTTTAGCCTCTGAGTAAATCTCTACTCCCTGGTATTTGTCCCAGACTACTTCCTGTGCACTGTTCTGACCGGCTGTTCCTAGCTATCAGATCCACTGAGACCACAGACGACCAAATTCCTCGACATCTTCTCCCCTCCCCAAGGTAGAAAGGTCTTGCCTTCAGCCTTCTCCCAGTACCTTCAGATTTAAAAAGGGGAACCACCTCTGGTCCAATTTCCCCACAGTAGTAACCTTGTTTCTGTTGGTAAACCAAGTGTCAATCAGCCTGGACTTGCAGATTTAAACCTAAATTTTGTTGTTGTTGTTGTTGGAGTTGGAGTCGGGGTCTCATGTATCCTAGGTTGATCTCTGATCTCTAGTTGAGGACTTTGAACTTCTGATACTCCTGCCTCTATCTCCCAAGTGCTGAGATTGCAGGAATGTATTACCATGCCTGGTACCAAGTATGCTAAGTTAAGCATTCTACCAAATGAGCTAAATCTCCAGTCCTTAAACCTACATTTCTATTAAGTGTCTATAGGATTTCATAACATTCTTGTTACGCGTTTTTGAGATAGGGTCTCATGTGACCCAAGCTGGCCTAAAACTACATAACCAAGGATAACCTGAACTCCTGATCCTCCTGCCTGCACCTCCCAAGCCCTGTGATTACAGGTAGGTGCTACCACATCCAGCTTCTTAATACTCTTATTGCCTTGACTGAGGAGACATGCCAAATCTGGAATGTCAGGACCTGATTCCACAGTTGAAAGTCAGCCAGTCATAATAGTACTGGTCCCATTGATTCTAGAGTAAGGCCACTGAGGGAGAGGCAAAGGTTTTTTGCTAGGGAGCAGGTTTGAGGGGGACAAGGACATGATATAGCAGATCCAGAATCCCAACAACCGTCACTTCCATAAGGACTTTTCTAGGAAGTACAGCAGTGACAGTAAAGCTCTGGGGTTTTGGATCAAACATCTTGGTTTGAGTCTTGCTTCCACCACTTCCTGCCAAATTACTTAATCTTGCTGAACGTGTTTTCCTTGTCTGAAGAAACAATCCAAATTTACACAATTATGTTAATTTTGTTAAATAGTATGTGTGAGATGTGCATTGCAGCAGGTATTCTTCAAACGGCTATGAAGTACACACCATAAAACATTTTTACATTATAATCCAGGATACATACAAGTATATACGAGTGAAACGTTTCACAAAACAATGCTATTTATTACTTGGGTCTTTTTTGTTTTTAACGCGAGTTGCAATGCACTACATTATGTTCACAACTTCTAACGGGTAGCTTCATAAAAACACTGTTGGAAACCATACAACTGCCAATTTTGACAACTTTTAATAGGATTCTCAGGATGATTAGATGGCCAGGACTCTTCACTGAGACAAAAAGGTCAAGGTTATCAGGTCAAGCCCCAAAGACTCCCGTTACCAAGGGAACCACTTTAGGGTTGGCCTACCCAAGCGCGCTACCCCTTTGGAGAAAACGAGTGGCCCGTGGCCCTATCACTCACAGCAGCACTGCGTCAGCCGGCTTCTGAGGCGGAAGGCCCGCCTCCTCGCTAAGGTTACGCCACGAATGCCGGAATTGGCTGTTCCGGCGGTGACGTAACCTTCCGTTTTGGGTGGCCTCAGCTCGCGCGAGTGTTGGGGGGATTCGGGGATCGTTTAACGCCGCTCCCCGCCCCCTCAGCCCTCAGGGGTGCCATGAGGTCGGTTAGCTATGTGCAGCGCGTGGCGCTGGACTTCAGCGGGAGCCTCTTCCCGCACGCCATCTGCCTCGGAGACGTCGATAACGATGCGGTGAGTGCATGCGCAGTGCGAAAGACACGCGGGGGGGGGGGCGAGGCCAGAGGCCGGAAGCGGCGGTGACGTAGCTGCGCGTGCGCACTGGAGTCGTCATGGCGCAAGAAGGAAAAAACTTATCGCCTCAGTACTCTGACCTCGCTGTAGACTTAGTTAGGCTCGTGCCCCGGGAGTATTTATTTATTTATTATTATCTTTTTTATTGTTATTATTATCTTATTTTAGGACGGTAGATTGTTGGTCCTTCCGTCCAGTTGTCACAGTAGGAGCTTGGTAAATTTAGTTCTGTTGGCCAGGTTTCTGGGTCGCTACTTCCGAGCTAGTTTACCCTAGTGGCATTACCCTTTCAAAGTCGCAGGGGTTTTTCTCAAGTGTAAATTGCATGGTAGAACAGTAATATTGTCCTACCATGACTTCGCTTTGACCATCTCCGCCACCCCCAAGCTTGCCGTTCTTGAACATGCCTTTGCTTTTCTGATCGGTGGACTTCTTTACCTAACCCGGCAGCAGATTCCCCACCATCAGTCTTGACCATGTCAGGTTTCCATTGTGCCTACACTCAGGGGTCTGGTAACTTCATCACCTTTGTTGAATTACAAAAGCAATCTCCATCGCCATTTTTCTTTCTTGCATGGTCGTTCCGTTTCTCGTCTTTTAAATAAGTACAGATAAATCAGGGAGAACAATACTTGGCATGCAGTTAATGCCCCGTGATTTTTAGCAGCCCTTCTAATCCGAGTGCTACACATCCAGAATTCAGCCACCTGGCTATAGAAAATACTTGGAGAAAAAAAAAAAATGGGTCTGTACTGAGTCTATAGATTTTGTTTCTTGCTATTATTACCTAAACATTACAGTATAGCAATTACAGCCCTGCATCACTTAATGGAGGAGCTATTTCTTAGGAATGCATTGTTGGAATACTTTGTGTTCCTAACATAGTGTGTGTTTGCACTGCCTATAAGGTGTAGCCCACCACACACGTAGACTATATGAAATTAATCTTGACATACAGAGCCCATCATTGACCAAATTATATGCAGCACAGGACTGTATTTATATAGCACTCAAGATGACTTAAAGTATGTGGAAGGAACTTGGGAATGTAGCTTAGTGATAAAGCACTTGCCTAGTGTGAACAAGGTCCTGAGTTAGATTCTCAATACTACAAAAATAAAAATAAAAGAGTAAGAACTAGAATATATGAGAGGGCTGGTGAGATGGTTCAGCCGGTAAAGGCACATGACTTCAAACCTGTTGACATGAGCTTGATCCCTGTGCCCCATGTGGTAGAAGAGGACAGACTCCCACAAGTTGTCCTCTGACCTCCACACACAATGCACTGTGGCTTGTGTGTGTGCATGTGGGCGCACATACACCACTAAGTAGAAATATGTAGTAAAATGTAATAGAATAAATGTAACAATGTAATGGAATAAAAATTAATAAAAACACTTTAATGAGAGGATATGTGTAGGTTATATGCAAATACTGTATGATTTGGTGTAAGGAACTTGATTTGGGTATTCATAAAGGTTCTATAACCAGTGCTCCCCAGATACAGAGATACAACTCTATACTACCCTTATTTTTCTCACCTGAAGGCTATGCAGCCCCCAAGCTTCCCAGTGATTCTTCTCTTTGTGCCTCCCATCTTGCTGTAGGATTCCTGGGATTGCCAATGTATACCACTGCATCCAGCTTTTTATGTGGGTTCCAGAGATCAAACTCAGGCCTCAGGCTTGCAGAGCTAGCACTTTGACCTGCTGAGTCAGCTTCCCAGACCAAAACACAGGGTCTCACTATGCTGCCCAAACCGCTTCCAAACCCCTAAGCTCAAGCTATCTTCCTGCCTCGGCCTCTGGAGTGTGAGACCACATGCATGAGCCCAGTCAAAAATTTTATATACCTGTGTGTGTGTGTGCACCTCTATCTCCCAAGATCCAAAATTACAGGCATATGCCAACATAATTAGGCATTTAAAAATATTTTATGTGTACGAGTGCAATGCCTACATGAATGTAAGTGCACCTGTGTTGTACAATGTCTGCCACAGTCAGAAGAGGGAGTCAGATCCCCTGGAAGTGGAGTTACAGATGGTTGGTAGCTGCCATGTAGGTGCTGGGAACCGAACCTGGGTCTGCTTTTAACCACTGAGCCATCTCTCCAGCCCCAGCTAGGGATGTTTTCATACTTGTTTTAAAAAATATTTTATGTGTTTGAGTGTTTTGGCTGTGTGTATGTAAGTTCACCACATGCATGCAGTGCCTGTGGAGGCCAGAAAAAGGTGTTGGATCCCTTGGAACTGAAGTTACAGGTGGTTGTAAGCCCCCAAATGGGTGCTAGAAACCGAAATTGGGTCCTCTATAAGAGCAGCAAGTGCTCTTAATTGCTGAGTCATCTCTCCAACTCCCAAATCTGTTTTTGTTTTTTTTTTTCCAACTGCTGTATTCCTAGTATTTAGAATAGTGCCTGGCATATAATACCAGGGTTTGTTTTGGGGTTTTTTTTGTTTTGTTTTGTTTTTTGGTCTTTTTGAGACAGGGTCTCCCTGTAGTCCCAGCTGTCCTGGATTCCCTATGGAGACCAGGCTGGCCTCGAACTCACACAGATCCACCTGCCTCTGCCTCCCGAGTGCTGGGATTAAAGGCATTGTGCCACCATGCCCAGCCACACTCAATAATTTTTAATTACACTTACTCATTTCATTTGTATGTGGCTCTATATGTATGTGGGCATGTGCATGCTGTGGTGTGTATATGGAGGTCAGAGGACCACTTGCAGGAGCTATTTCTCTTTCTACCATAACAGACTCCAGGGATAAACTCAGGTTTTCAGGCTTGACTGCAAGCACTTTACTGATGAGCCATCTCACCAACTGAATAATTGCTTTTACTTAAATGAAAAATTGTTATAATGTTGAGCATGGTAGCACACGCCTTTAATTGCAGCAGAGGCAAGTAGATCTCTGTGAGTATGAGGCCAGTCTAGTCTATATAGCTGGGGCTACATAGTGAGATTCCTGTCTCAAAATAAGGGAGCTATAAAAAGCAAATGTGAAAAACAAAGTACTGTACATTGACAGTATTGGCCCCAGCATCATTTTTTAAAAGTAACTTGGAGTTTTGGGTGTTATTAGGGGGCAAAAAACAGAAGAAGGCAAGTAAGTGAATCAATCAGTTCTTGAGTTTAATCAGGTATACCACATGCCCATGTGACATGTTTTAGCTGTGCTGAAAGTGTAGCCAAGTGGTAGGGCAATTGCCTGGTAGTTATGTGTGAGGCCCTGGAGTCCATCCCCACCATTATTTAAAAAAAAAAAAAAAATGGGCTGGAGAGATGTCATGGCAGTTAAGAGCATTGGCTGCTCTTGCAGGGGACCCATGTTCTGTTCCCAACACCCATATAGCAGCTAACAACTGTCCAAGGGATCTGATGCCCTCTTCTTGCCTTCACAGGCATTACACAACACGGGTGCACTTACATCTAGGCACAACACTCATACACATAAAATAATTTTTTAAAAAAAGAAAAGAGAAAATTATTGCCAGACATGGTGGTGCACATCTGTAATCCCAGTACTCCCAGGCAGGAGAATCACTGCAAGTTTGAGACCAGCATGATCTACATAGCAAGTTCCAGGCAACCCAGGACTACATAGTACATAGTGAAGCCCTGTCTCAAAACTACCCCCCAAAATAATTGTTAGTGATTCCCAAACATTTGAAGCTTTGGGATCAGGACAAAGATGGATTTCAGCCTAATAAAACCATGGCCTAAAGTTCCTTGAAGCTGATTTATTTCCTGCTGAGGCAGAGGGAAAAGCCAGAAGTAACACACACACACACACACACACACACACACACACACACGCTCTTGGACCACCCACAGAAGCCTAGCTAGACCTGGCACAGCAAGCCTTTGGGAGGCTGAAGCAGGTCTCAGAAAGATATCACCTTTCTCCTCTAGCCCTGCTGACCAATGGTGTGCCTACCAGCTAGGCTTTTTTTTTTGTCTCTCTGTGACCTCCTGGGGCCAGAGCCAAGCTCTGTGAGAGCAGCAGATCTGGTGGGAAACATCCAAGTGCTGGAAAGCAGATGACTGCCCCAGAAACATCCTTTCCCACATGCCTCATGCTGCCTGGCTGAGTCACATCTGCTTGCTCAGTGCACCCACCACACTTTCATGATTTTCTTCCTGTGTCAGTGGCTCTGCAGATTTGAGTTCCTTCTCAGCAGGAAGGCTGGCTGCAGACTCCAGGGCTGGCTGGGCATTTTCTTTCATCCTGACTTAAACTTTTTGGATAAGTTCTCAGTTACTATGCAACCCAGGCTGGCCTGGAACTTGCAGTCCTTCTCTCCTACTTCAACCTCTGGGTGTTGGGATTATAGGCCTACACATCACAATTGACTGCTTTCAGTGTTTTATGAATGAAAAATGTAAGCAGGGCTGGCAAGATGGCTCAGCAGCCAAAGGTACTTCCATCAAGCCTGACAATCTGAGTTCAATCTCTAGGACCCACTTGGTGGAAAGAGAGAGATGGCTCCTGCAAATTCTCCTCTAACCTCTAACCTACATATACACACACGGTGGCATGCACATGCCCACAAATACACACATAAAACAAATGAATGCGTGAATGAATTAATGTAATTTTAAGAAAAATGTAAGCAGAAAGAGATGCCTGACGCAAAGCTTAGCCTGTGTGCCTTTCTCCTGGATGTCTACAGAAGTCCTCTCAAGCACCTGCCATTGAAACCTTGGCCTTAGTGGGTTGGATGTAAATAAGTTCAGTGTATGCTTCTGTGATCTAATATTCTCTTTTTGTTTCGTGTGTGTGTGTGTGTGTGTGTGTGTGTGTGTGTGTGTATGCATGAGTGTATTGCCTGCATGTATGTAAGTGCACCATGTTGTGCAGTGCCCATGGAGGTCAAAAGAGGGCATTGGATCTCCTGGAACTGGAATTACAGATGGTTGTTAGCCATCATGTGGGTTCTGGGAACTGAACCCAAGTCCTCTGACAGAACAGCTGTTGCTCTTAACTATTGAGCCATCTCTCCAGCCCCTCTTTTTCTTTTCTAAAAAAAATTCTTTGTATTTTATGTGTATGAGTGTTTACCTGCATGTATGTATACCATGAGCATGCAGTGCCTATGGAGGCCAGAAGACGGTGTTGAATCCCCTAGAACTGGAGTTATAGGTAGTTGTAAGCTGCCATGCTGTGAACTAAACCCGGTTCCTCTGTAAAAACAAGTACTTCACCTCTTCACTTCTGAACTATCTTCTGCACCTTCTTTGTTTTTCTTTTTGTATAATCTGTCTCAAAAAAAACCTCCCATAACTGCTAAAAAAATAAATGGGTTACCCGGAGTGGTGGCACATACCTTTATTTCACACATTATGAGATATAAAATGTATTTATCAAATCTGTAATCATTATGCCAAAAAATCTGAATTACTGTAATATTTTATATATTGTTAAAACTTCAAAAAGACCAAAAAAAAAAAAAATTAAAATTAAAAAATTTCTAAAAATAAATGAGTCAAATCATTAGAAATCTAATTTATTTCAAATTTTTTCTTGCTGTTGTTTTGAGTCTCAAATAGCTAAGACTACAGTGCATGTCACTACATCTGGCTTCCTGACTGTTGATCTTTCTGTTGCCCTAGAATTAAATCTCTTGGGAATCTACTTTTAGTTTCTTCTCTTTGAGGAGTAACATGGAGACACCAGCTGCCTGTTCCAGAGGAAATCAGAAAGCTATTTGTAGAAATAGGGTTTAGAGCCACCTGCTTATGATTAGCCCCCCAAACAGTGGTCACACAGATTAGCACTAATGTGGAAGAGGCTCCATGCAGGAAACCCCCCTCCCGACAACCTAGGCACCACTTGAGGGCACTAGAGGTGCAGAGCCAAGGTGCTGACATCAGTACCACCTTCTGGCCCTGTCCCTCTGTGTGCCCACACATGAAGATCCTCAAGGTTGAGCATTCTTGTGAGGAGAGAGGAGCTGGCTTTGTCTTTTTGACTCCTGAATAAATATGAGGTATACAATTATATTCTTCAAAAATTCAATCCTGGGCTGTTTTCAAAACATGTTGCATTTGTAGTGAACAAAGAAACTAGCCAAGGTCAGTTGTTTGGGCAGAGAGCTATGCAAATAGCAGATTTTTCTGAATAAGTCAGATTTTGTGTAAACCCTCCTGCCCACAGCACATGTATATGCATATACACTCACACATGCACACACACAAAAATAAATTCTGAAAAACTGTGCTGCAGTGGTTCCAAAAGATTTGTTTTGTTATTGAGTTTCTTTTGCCAAACCTGTGCTAGGCAACTGCTTTGCCACTGAGCCACCCCTCCCCCCCCCAGCCAGCCAATGTCCAAAGATTTTTTTTTTTCCCCTGAAACATGATCTCACTGTATAACCCAGGCTGACATTAAACTTGCTGCTATCCTCTGGCCTCGGTCTCCTGAGTGCTGGGATTACAGGTATCTACCAACATAACATACTCAGCTGTCTCAAAGCCTTTTGTGTTGGGGATTTGTTTTTTATTTCTATTCTTTTGAGACTGTCTCATGTATCCCAGGCTGGCCTTAACCTCGTTCTGTAGCTGATAATGATTTTATACTTCTGATACTTCCGCCTCCACCTTCCAGTGCTGCCACTACAGGTATGTGCCATTAGGCCTGGTTTTTTCGTGTTGCTGAAGATGGAACCTAAGGTTCATGCATGCTAGGCAAGCACCCTACCAACGGAGCCACATCCCCAGCCCATCAAAGGCTTTTTAATGAATTACAACGATACAGGTTGAAATGCTGGGGCTGGAGAAATGGCTCAGCAGTTAAGATCACTGACTGCTCTTGCAGAGGGCCCAAGTTTGATTCCCAGAACCCAGATGGCGGCTAACCACTGTCTGTAACTCCAGTTCCAAGAGATCCTGTGCCCTCTTCTGACTTCTGCAGTCATTGCTTAACATGGATGCACTTAACATACATGCAGGCAATACACTCATACACTTAAGATAAAAATAATAAAATAATTTTACAAAGAAATGTTACGGTATTTCTGGAAATAGGCCAAGCTGAGAAGGACTTGCTGAGTTTCAACAGGATCCCATCCTAACATTGCTCTCTCTCCATTTGAAGTTAAATGAACTGGTGGTGGGAGACACCAGCGGAAAGCTGTCTGTGTATAAGAATGATGACAACCGGCCATGGCTCACATGTACCTGCCAGGGAATGGTCAGTATTCACCTCTGTGGACCGTGGGAAAGGGGGTGGGGTCCCTTTGTGTAGGACTGCCAAGTGGGGGTCCCATAGGGAACCTCCCAGTATGTCCTGACTCCCTGGCAGTTCCACCTAGCCACTGCTTCAGAGTTCATTTGATTCCCAGAGGGCAAACCCAGGAATTGCTCTCAGTCTGTCCCCTTTCCAACTCCCCTACGAGGTGTTACCCTTTCTGTTATGGAGTATCCCCTTGGTACTTTATGGAAGCTGCCTAAGGTTATCTGACAGTATACAGTACAGTCCTACATTAGTTAACAACAGGGACATGATTGTTAGGCCATTTTATCATTCAGTGGTCATCAGAGAGTATTTCTACAAACTAAGACAGCTGTGGTGTTACCTTAGATTTTTGAGACAAGGTCTTGCTGTGTAGTCCAGACTGCCCTTAAACTTGTAATCTTCCTGCCTCAGCTCCAGATTGCTGGATTACAGGTTTATGCTACCACACCCAACTATGTGATGGAATCATAGGGGACCACCATCATATATGAGAATTGTGGTTGACCAAAATGTTCTCATACAGTCCATGACTGCACAGAGAAAATAACCTAGAAATATGATAGTCAACCTAGCATGGTCTTTGGCAGGGGGCAGGGGGCAGGATTTGAATTTTTTTAATGAGACAGGGTCTTGCTATATAGCCCTGGCTGACCTGGTACTCTCTATGTAGCCCAGGCTGGCCTGGAACTCGTAGCAGTTCTTCTGCTTCAACCTCCTCGGTGCTGGGACCTGTAGTCACATGTCCACTTAGATTTTTATTTTGCCTTAAATCTAAACTTTACCTACTTGGATTTTCATATTGCTGTCTGAGTAAACCAATATTACTCAATATCTCTATTACTAAAGACTATCCACATGGGTCATGTGGCTTTCCATGGATGCTTCACAGAGATGGAGGACCAGTCTCCTGGGTGTTTTCCTCAGCCTCCTTTTCTCTTTTGCAGTTGACTTGCGTTGGGGTTGGAGATGTGTGTAATAAAGGAAAGGTAAGGACTTGAGGGATCTCAGGCTGTGGTAGAGTTCCAAGCCCTTGCAAGTCAGTCCACCCTCCCTAGTCCAATGCATCTCTCCTGTATCTCTGCATCTCCCAGAACCTGGTGGTGGCAGTCAGCGCTGAAGGCTGGTTTCACTTGTTTGACCTGACACCCACCAAAGCTCTAGATGCTTCTGGGCACCACGAGACACTTGCAGAGGAGCAGCGTCCTGTCTTCAAGCAGCACATCCCAGCCAACACCAAGGTCATGCTGATCAACGACATCGGTGGGCATGGCTACCTTTGCCAGCAGCCAGGGAGCAGGAGTCAGTGGGTACTAGGGCAGACCTCAAGAGATTGGGATGGGGGAGAGTTGCACTATTTATACATTTGTTGTATGTTTACTTTTTCTATTTTATTTCACTATAGTTTCATCTATTGGATATTGGATACATAGTTACTGAGCTCTTGTTACAAGCCAGGAATTGGTCTAGGTACTAGAATTACAATAATGAGTAAAACAGAAAAAAAAAAAAAAAATCATGCCCTCTTGGACCTTACTAGGAAAAGACAGAAAAGAAACAATATAAATTTTTTTTTGTCTTTTTTTTTTTTTTTTGAGACAGGGCCTCCTTGTAGCCCCCGTTTTCCTGGAACTCACTATGTAGACCAGGTTGGCCTTGAACTCACAAATATCTGCCTGCCTCTGCCTCCCAAGTGCTGGGATTAAAGGCATGTGCCACCATGCCCAGCTAGAAACAATATAAATTTTATGAGAAAATTAAATACTGGGGTTGGAGATGTGGCTCAGTATTAGAACACTGGCCCAGCATGTACTAGGCCTGAGTTCAATCCCAGCACTGACCAAAAGCAATCAATCAATAGTATATTAGAAGGTAGTAAGTGCTGTGGACAGAATAAAATCACAGAAAGGACTGAAGGGTATCAGGGTATTGGAAGCAGTTTTAAATGGAGTCAGGGACATCCTTGCTGAGAAAGTGGATTTGATTAAAAGCTGAAGGTGGCGGAAGAGTGAGCTAGAGACACAGAGCTGCTGATCTGTTCAGAGGCTGAAGTGGGAGGTGTGTGGGGTGGGTCAGGATGCTATGCAGACGCTGGTGACAAGGCAGTGGGACCTGCAGAGCATGTGATGAGGCACTGCTGTCAGCACAAGGCTGGGTAGGGACAGGCAGCAACCACAGTGTGGCAAATGGCTCAGAAGACTGGGTGGGATGCTACATCCAACAGAAAGTTCCAGCAGTGGCAGTGTGGAACAGTCCTTGTAGGCACAAGCTGACCGACTCAGGTTTGGCTCCAAATCCATCATGTTTCTGTGTCCACAGATGGAGATGGGTGTTTCGAACTGGTGGTGGGATACACAGACCGTGTGGTGCGGGCCTTCCGCTGGGAAGAGCTGGCAGAGGGGCCTGAACACGTGACAGGGCAGCTGGTGTCCCTCAAGAAGTGGATGCTGGAGGGTCAGGTGAGAAGCAGAGTTTGGGGACCCTGGAGCCCAGTGAACAGGGAGGAATGCTTCCTGGAGGAGACTTGTAGAAAACAGGGCAATGCTGGGAAGAAGGGAAAACAGCCTTGCTGAGAGAGCCAGAAAGTCATTTCTAGACAGGGTCTCACTGAAAGTTGTCATGACAGGTCTAAGAATTCAGCCTATGAAGGGGTGTGGTGTGTACCAGGTCAGGATCTGGACCCAGTGGGGCACACAGCGGAAAGCAAATATTCTGTATTGAGAGGATGGTACCAGGCAGGCCCTCAGGAACCATCTGCTGCCACCATTGAAGCTGGAGGGCAGTTCCCAGAAGCCTTGCCCTGCATCTCTCCTGTTCTTCACAGGGGCTCCCTTCCTTCCTGCTATGTCCTGCATTAAAGCTGTGTTCTGTGGTGCAGGTTGACAGTCTCTCTGTGACCCCTGGGCCACTGGGTCTGCCTGAGTTGGTGGTGTCTCAGCCAGGGTGCGCTTACGCAGTTCTCTTGTGCACCTGGAACAAGGATACTGACTCCCCTCTTGCCTCTGAGGAGCCCGCAGAGGGCAGTAGGTAAGGGGTACAAGCCTGTGCATGGTATGGGGTGCATAGTAGCAAGGATGGGTTCCCAGGACACATGGTGGTAAGAAAAGTCTGCAGGTGACAGGGTTTCATCATCTTAAGTCCCAGCCCCAGCACTTTTTCACATTAGAGAAGACTGTCTAGGGTGCTGGAGAGATGACTCAGTGGCCAAGAGCACCAGCTGCTCTTGAAGAGGACCTAGGTTTGAATTCCAGCACCCACATGATAGCTAACAACTGTCTATAACTCCAGTTCCAGGAGATTCAACTCCTTCAGACCTCCATGGGCATTGCACAACACAGGTGCACTTACATACATTCAGGCAATACACGCATACACATAAAATAAAAATAATAAACATATTTTAGAAAGACTGTCTAGGAACTCAGGAATCCTGGGCCTTAACCATAGAGCATCTGAAAGTGGGTCTAGGTTTCTCCCTGGCAGCCCCATCCACCTGCTGCTTGGGTCAGAAAGGCTCAGCTAGGCTTCTAAGCTGGATGAAATCTAGGAAGGTCTTGCAGGGATGGTGGCCACAAAGGGTCTACAGAACTCAGCTCCCTCAGCCTCCCACTGACCCAGTCTCTCTGTCACTCGCAGGGAGACTCCAGCTACCCGAGATGTAGTGCTACACCAGACATCCGGCCGAATCCATAATAAGAATGTTTCCACTCACCTAATTGGCAACATCAAACAAGGTAAGGGAGGGATGGAGCCTAGGGTGCTGTAGTTCTGGGGAAAAAGACCCAGGCCCCTGCCGTTGTTCCTGCCTCCATGCCCACTCCTTGATGATGCCTGGTCCCTTCCCTGGAGACTCCAGTCTTGCCCTGCCTGCCACATTTTTTTTCTTGTTTCTCTATCCCTCCCACAGGTCATAACCCTGAAACTGGTAGCTCAGGCCTGTTTGCCCTGTGCACCCTGGATGGTGAGCAGTCCTGGGCTGGGTGAGGTGAATGTCTGCCTGATGATCTGCTTAAGGGCCTAGCCCATTTACCTGGGCCTGCCTCTCCCTTCCCCGCCACAGGGACGCTGAAGCTTATGCAGGAAGCAGACAAGCTGCTGTGGTCAGTGCAGGTAGATCACCAGCTTTTTGCCCTGGAGAAATTAGATGTCACGGTGAGTGGGCAGCTGTTCTCACATCCCAGTTAACACTCAACCTTTATCTTAGTCTCTTAGGCCTAAAGTGTGTCCTAGCACACTCTGAAGTGAGCATGCCTTACAGCACAGTATTTAATGCTTCTCTCTGAGGCTGCTGGAAAGCCTTTCATTCCCATGCCTTTCAGCCTAAGTGTAGCCACAAACAAAGCAGGTTAGACTGAGTCTAGGTGTGTCATTAGTCCTGGGTGTAGCTGTGTACTTTGTAGTTGTTGGTTTTCTCCTTTCCCTATGAGTCCATTTGATAGCACTGTAACACTCCCCCACCCCCCAAATTGGCAAATGGAGACTGCACTGTTTGTATTGTCGTTGTGAATGCTGGATGGCTTTGAGGGCAGGTTGAACAGACTTGGGCTTTGGTCTTAGCTCTACTCCCCTAGCTGAGGGACCTTAGGTAAGCAGCCCTGTTTCTCTCTCTCTCTCTCTCTCTCTCTCTCTCTCTCTCTCTCTCTCTCTCTTGATCTTTTTGAGATAGGGTCTCCCTGGCCTGGAACTCACTGAACTCACTATGTAGACCAAGCTGGCCTAGAACTCACAGAGCGCTACCTGTCTCTGCCTCCTGAGTGCTGGGACTAAAGGTGTGCACCACCACACCCAGCTGGCCCTGTTTCTCTAAGCTGAAATTTCCTTGGTATAAAACTGGGAGCACCCCTTTAGTCCCAGCACTTGGGAGGCAGAGATGGGTGGATTTCTGAGTTTGAGGCCAGCCTGGTCTACCTAGTGAATCCAGGCCACCTGCACCTACACGGAGACCTTGTCTCAAAAAGACAAAACAAAAAACTAAGAATAATCCAGCACTTAGGAGGCAGAGGCAGGCAAATCTCTGTGAGTTCGAGGCCAGCCTGGTCTACATAGCTAGTTCTAGGTCAGCTGGGGCTACAGTGAGACCCTGTCTCAAATCACCCCCCCCCCAAAAAAAAAACAGAATGATGTTATTTACATCAGAGGGTTACTGTGAACATTATTAAATCACTGATTGCCCCATTGGGGTGCCTGCCACTCAGGAGAAATTTCCCCAGTTCACTATGTGCCATACAGAGTCAAGTTCATGGTCCTTTGTGTCTCACCCCCTACCCTATCACCAGATCTTTCTTTTTTTTTTTTAATTTTTAAATTTATTTATTTGGGGGGCAGTGTACTCGTGCCACAGCACATGTGTGGAGGTCAGAGATGACCTGTAGGAGTTGGTTTTCTCCTCCATCACTTAGGTTCCAGGGACTGAACTCAGTTCATCATACTTGGCAACAAGCTTCTGTACCCCGAGTCTTCTCATTGGCCCGTTTTTTGTTTTTTTTTTTTAATTTAATTATGCACTGTGTAACCCAGGCTGGCGTTGAACTTATGACCCTCCTGCTTCTGCCTCCCAAGCACTGGGATTGCAAGTGTGTACCACTACATCTGGCTTTTTCTAAATGGCCCCTTACCTTTCTGGCATCCTGTCTCTGGGCTTTTTCAGGGCAATGGGCATGAGGAGGTGGTTGCATGTGCCTGGGATGGACAGACATACATTATCGATCACAACCGCGCTGTTGTTCGCTTCCAAGTGGATGAGAATATCCGGGCTTTCTGTGCAGGTGGGACCCAGCCCTTTGGCTTCCAAGCTCGTATACGTTAGATTACCTTTTTTAAAATGTGCTAGAGAAATGATTGACTCTCATTTCTACCCAGCATAGTCCCTGCTGAAGTCTTCATAAATATGTTCTTCAGTTTTCATTAGAGGGTGATAGATAGTATGAAGTTGCCCCCATGAGGGGTCCATCTCTGAATGTTGTAAAGAATGTGAAGAATGTGAGGCATGCCAGGCGTGGTGGTGCTCGCCTTTAGTCCCTGCACTCAGGAGGCTCAGGTGGATCTCTGTGAGTTCAAGGCCAGCCTGATCTACAAAGTGAGTTCCAGGCCTGTCTCAAAAAAAGACCAAAAAAAAAAAAGAATGTAAGGACATTGCCATTTGAGCATGCCAGGCTGAAACCCAGAGCATTCTCTTAAGTTCCAAATTGGGGACCTTGGAGAGCAGCAGTAGCTATTTGAGTGACTAGGGAATATATCTGGTTACTAAAATGAAAATGGGCTGAGGGTGTGACTCAGTAGTAGAGCGCTTGACTAGCATGTATGAAGTTGTGGGTTCAATCCCCAGCATTGCCAAATAAAATGAAAAGTGCTGGATACACACCCTGGTGACCCAAATGGTTGACATGTGCTTAGAAGAAAGGATCAACTCAGGAGAAGTGTTCTTCTCTGGTCACATATTGACCTTCCCCTCATTAGCATGGCAGCCCCTCATTATTCTGGGACTTCACCAAGATGAGATCTACAGTTGCACCTTTTGGAATGCTGACCATGTCTTTTCCATATCTGGAGTGGGCTAGATATTTTCCTACTTTACCTATTTTACCAAGTTCTCAATAGAGAATTAGGAAAAGGGCCTTTGTTGGTTGACATCCATGGGAAGCCCAGAACCGCTCATGCTGATGTCTGTGTCTTGCTCCTGTCCTCCCACTGCTGGGACTAAAGTGTGTCCTCTGTCTCTTTATCCCCATCTCCCAGGCCTGTATGCCTGCAAAGAAGGCCGAAACAGCCCCTGCTTGGTGTACGTCACTTTCAACCAGAAGATCTACGTGTACTGGGAGGTGCAGCTGGAGCGGATGGAGTCCACTAATCTGCTGAAACTGCTGGAGGCTGAGCCCGAGTACCACAGCCTACTGCAGGAGCTGGGTGTGGGTAAGTCCCAGCAAAGCCAGTGGCCCAGCACCCAGGGGTCCAGCAGCCTCTTAGCAGCCTCTTTTTGGTCCTCAGATCCTGATGATCTCCCTGCAGTCCGTACCCTGCTTCACCAGACACTTTACCAGCCGGACCAGGCACCACAGTGTACTCCCTCAAGCCTCCAGGACCCCACCTAACTGGGATTAGTTGGTGAAGGATCCTTCTGAGCCCACCCCATCTCAAAGTGATCCATGATCTTGGCAGGCTAAGGAATGTACATGACAGCATTTGATTCTCTGCATGGAAGGATGGTGGTGATCCTCATGGTCTTTGATGAATGAAGAGATTAGTTGACCCTCTGCCTCCTGCCTTGTGGGCTTCACCTGGGTCACTAGATCCCAGTCTTGTTAGAGATCATCCAGGTTCCTGTGTTTCCCTCCCCACACTCCCCACTCTGTGCAGAAAACAGACCTGTCTGTGAGAACAAGTGACATCTTTTGCAGGGCCCCAACACCTGGAAGGAGACCAGGCTTCAGGCCTGAGGAGCAGTGGAGGTAAGGGCCCCTCATGCTGAGTGCCATCTTTCATGATATGGCTCAGGCAGCTGACATGAGTAATTCTTACAGGAACAGCAGAGTGTGTGTGAGAGTATCTTTCAGGACTTTTACTCTACTCCATTTACTGAAGCAGCTTGGTCAGGGCTTTCTTGTTTTGTCATAATCTTTTTCTTCTTTTCTATTTATTTTGTACTCAAGGTAGAGCCCAGGGCCTTGCACGTTAGGCAAGCACTCTGCCACCAAGCCACACCCCAGCCTTGCTATATTCTAAAGTGTTATACAGTATAATAGCCCCACCCACCTGCCTGTCCCAAACATCTTACTGCCTATGAAACAATAGATGTTTGCAGTTTGTTTTCATGGTAGTGCACACCTATAATCCTGGCACTTGGAGGATTTTGAGTCCCAGGCTAGCCAGGGCCCCATAGCAAGTTTGAGACCAGCGTGGGTTACGCACAGACAAAAAAGATATTAACAATCTGATGCGGGTTTATGTTCTAGACTGTAATTAGAATCATATCTTGGGCCATTTATGTTCTTTCTGTTCAAGGGTATGTGTGCTCTAAATAAGTATTTTTCAAGTTATAGGTGGGACTCCTTTGATGGATAATGGCTAGTATATTTGTGTGTCTGTGTGTGTGCATGCTCGTGTGTGTGTGTATGTATACCTAGGCACATGTGTGTGGAGGCCAGAAGAGGATGTTGGGTCTCCTACTTGCCTACTCTACCTTACTTATTTGAGATGGTCTCTCTCTGAACCTGGAGTTTGTTGTGTCATGTAGGCTGGCTGTTTAGTAAGCCTAAATGATGCTCCTGTGTCTGTGCCCAGACTGCTGGGGTGACAGGTACCTGCACAGCTTTTTTATCTTGGTGCCGGGGCCCCAACTCAGGTTTTTATGCTTGCACAGCAAGTGCTCTTTACCCACTGAGCCATCTCCTCAGCCCCTGGAATTTTTGAACTAATGAAATAGAACAAAATAAAATAGAAAATGTCAGAGTCCATTGCTCACAGTGGAGGGAAGTGTTGTTTTCTTGTAATTGAATGCATATGAGTGCAGCACACGCGGTGTAAAATATATTTCACAAGCCTTTACTCTCCACTGTGCTCCAGTCAGAGGGTCTGTCTGGGGGATGGCCCAAGCCATACTTCCTTCCCCTAAGGAACTAAGGGCAGAGGCATTATGAGTTCCCACGAGGCAGGGAAGACCACAGAAGGACACAGCTTAAAGAAAGAAGTGTTTATTCAAATGGAAAAGCAGGCTGAGGGCCTGCCCTGGGACAGGTCTGCCATTATATTATCAGCAGGAGACAGAGTGGAGAAGGACCAGAGGTCTCAAAGCAAGGTGATGAGGGAGGGCAATTTTTTCGGAATTGACAGATGTGCTAAGGAGCCCCCTCCTCTACCTTTGAGAGAGGCGAAGAAGCTGAGCTTGCATTCTGGTTCCTCCTTAGTCCTTTCTAGGATTCATATTTTACTTCCACCTAAAGGTCCCGGTTCCCTGGTTTGGGTTAGTTGGATCATTGTCTCTATCCCTAGCCATGATTTGAGAGTCAGATCAGCCAGAAAGACATTTGGAGTCTAGCCTGCTTCTCTTCACAAGCAAGTCAGTGAACCTGAACTCTGAGCCCAGCTGAGAGATAGAAAGCCATGGTTCCAGCACAAAGCATGCTCAAGTTCAGAAGACCAAAGATGAGGGTAGAAAGGAGGCCTAAGGAGGTGGATAGTTCTAGAAGTAAGAAACACTGGATGGTGCATGTCTGCAGATTGACAGCCTCATCATTGTGAGCCTCTTCTAGGGGCAGTTTTCCATGGGGCTCCTTTATACTCCCCTAAAACTGAGAGGCTCAACAGTGCAAAAGCAGGTGGAGAAGGACAGATCCAAAGGTGTCAGAGATAGAGCCAAGGTTCGGCCTGGTTACCCATCAGTAACTGACTCAGACATTTGCAGCCCAGAAAGGGTAGCCACTGAAAGCCCTCAGTCCAGGGACTGGACATTTCTGTGCTAAGCCCTCCTCTTTGCTGAATTACATTATCCCGTTTGCATGTCATCCCAGACTCAGCTATAAGCAGATGGGTACAGGATTAGGAGGGTCCAGGAACCCAGACTAGTGGGGTGTGGCAGTCTAGTGGGAGACATAGAGGAAAGGGCAGTGGAGGAGAGCTTGGGGTGGGCTTTGGGAAGGTGAGGGCAGCAGGTGACTGCAGCCTTTGACTCCACAGCCAGGGTAAAAGCTGGAGCCCATTCTTTGTAGATCCCTTTGTGCAGCTCTGGCTTAGCTGTGTTCTTGATAGGGGATGAGAGAGAATGGAGACCCCAGAATCATGGACACCCTTAGTAGAAATTCCTGGAGCATAGGACAGTTAATAAGAAGCAGAGAAGGAGGTGGTTGACTGTGGGGTCAGGGTGGTGAGAAATGAGACTGACACAGTAGTCTCCACACCGCTCTTCCCCTAAGGCAATGTGTCACCCTAGGGACAGGCTGAGATAGTGGTTACTGGTCAGGCTCTTGGAATGGAGGTAGGAAGGGCAGCTCCGAGAAGGGGGCTTTCAGCCGCAGCACTCCACGGTCCAGGTCAATGCAGCACTGCAGTGTGGACCCAGGATGTGCAGTCACCTTCCTGCCAGCTCACCTGCTCTCCCTCCCCCTCCTGTTCTGCCCACCCCTGCTCCCATTCTGCCCAGTCAGAGAGGAACCCTGTTTTCCTGATTTTCTTTTGGGGTAACTGAAAAAGCAAGATCCAAGGTCCACATCTTGGAGTCTCTTTGTCAATCTGACCTGGCCCTCCACCCTCTGCCTTCTACCCCTTCCAGCACTTTGGGTCCCAAGCATGAGTGCCTTACCTTGAGGGAGCGCAGAGTCTGCAGTCCCAGGCACAATTCAGGGCTCTCCACATCTGTAGGAAACCATTGGAAAACAAGGTTGCACCTGTGATCACTACCACCCTCGTCCCAGCACTTACCCCTCTCCTGTCTGTTCCATTCCCCAGGTTGAAAATAGCATAGAGTAGGAGATCATCAGAACATCTTCAGGAATGCCATGTGCTGGCAGGGCCAAGAAACCCTCTGTTTTGCCCCACCCAGAAGAGAGGAGAGGTGAGAGGTAGGACACGGAGGACTTACCCACCACTTGAGCTGAGCATGCCACAGTCTCCTGCCCCAGCTCTAGCTCCAGCTGTTCCACTTGACTTAGGGGCCCAGGTGCCAGGTCCCCACCTGGAGCTTTGGGGACCTTTTTCCCTAACCTGCAGTTAGAAAGCAAGGGTTATAGCCACCACCATTCCCCCTCCTAATTCTCTGCAGTTAGAAAGGCTATACTGATGGGAGCTCCCAGTCCCTGACCCAAGTGGAGCTAAACCCTGCCCTGCCCTGCCAGAGCTGCTTAGCCTACCTCCACTTTTTAAATTTAACAGCTATATTGAGATACAAATCGTGCCATCAAATACATATGTTGATGTTGATTTTGTTTGGGTTGGTGGGAGATTTGGTTTTTTGAGATAGGGTCTCCTGTAGCCTAGGCTGGTTCAAATATCTTATGTAACAAGGCTGCCCTGAACTCTTAGTTTTCCTTTTGATACCTCTCTCAGGTGTTGGGTTTATAGGCATGTACCACCATGCCCAACAAAATTCATTCTGTGAAAGTATATAATTCAATAGTATTTAGTATATTCACAGAGTGCAACTATCTTCTCTAGATCCTTTGAGAATATTTTCATCACCCCCAAAAGGAGCCCACGCTCAAGCCCAAAGTGGGGGTGTAATCCCAATATTTGGGAGGCTGAGGCAGAAGGATGTTGAATTTGAGGCCAATCTGGGCTACCTAGTGAGACCTTAGTCAAAGACAGAGAAGAAACATCCTATCCTGCCCTCGTTTGGCTGAGCTCTTACCCCAGGCGCCTGAGACATGCCGCTGATATCTGATTGTCCTGGGTACCTGTGTCCACGGCCACTCGAAGCAGCTGGTCCTGGCACTAAAAGAAGATATGTGGTGGGTTGGTGAGTCCTGGGAGAAGTGATTGGGTTGGGGGTTTCAACTTTCCCAGTCCTGTGATTTTCAGAAATGAGGGGCTAAATGAGTTTTCAAAAGTGAAACTGACTCTTGGGGAAAGGAATCAAGTAAGTGAAACTCCACATGATGAGTCCATAAGTAAGGAAGGATCTGGATGTTTAGAGGAACTCATGGGAAGTTAAAGGCCTCTTGGTTAGAGAACTCCAGGTTGGGAGGGGGAGCTGAGAAGACAAGCCTCTTATGCAGATTGCAGACACTCACATATGGGTGACCAAGAAGCTCACCACTGGGGACAGGAAGACAAGTCCTCTGTCTTCAGATATAGACAGGCACTTAGGATGTATACACGAGAAAAAGAAGTGTTCTCATTCCAAACATTTATTGAGTACTATGTAATAAGATGTATTGCTGGTAACTTCAGTGAATGCTGTTCTCAGGAGTGTGAAGGAAGTAAAATATAACTCCCCCTTGAAGAACATTTTAAGGTCTGTGGAAGGATTGTGAGTTCAGTGCCTCAGCTTGGGAGGGTGGAAAGCTGTTTCCTGCTGGAGAGCAAAAAAAGCTTTCAGGGAAGAGGCAACATCTGAGCTGGGCCTTAAAAGCCTAGAGAATGTGGACATGGGATGGTTGGGGCGTAGGAAGAAAGATTTATGGGCAGAGGGGCCATAGGCATTACTGGAATGGTTCAATAATAAGTAGGTGCTCCAGTGGCTCCAAAACAAGGAACCTTGGGGCTGGAGAGGTGGCTCCGTGGGTTAAGGGAACATGATGCTTATCCAGAGGACCTGAGTTCTAGTCCCAGAACCCACGTCTGGTGTCTCAACCACCTGTAACTCCAGCTCCAGGGGATCTGATGCCCTCTTGTGGCCACTGCAGGCACACACACTGCATGCATGTACATAAGTGAAAAAAATAAAAATCTTTTTAAAGATGGGGAGCCTTGGAACATGAACCTTTTCCATATGTGCACATACCACTCTAATCTGTTGAGTGCACTGAAAGGCACACACATTTAAATACACGTTGATAGAAGTGCGTGGACATTGTGATACAATGGTGCTAACAGAAGGCATTGCACAGAGAAGGTAGGCAAGAGGAAGACAGGAAAGCAGATGTGGGGCCAGGAAAGAAGTGAGATGACTTTTTCCCTCCTTTGTAGGCCAAATCAGAAAGGAGAGCAGATGAAGTGGGCCAGGTCAGCAAGTGAGCGGGCTCGGGGGGCTGCTGAATACAAGTCAGTGCCCTGGGAGGCCTCTTACCTTGCAGTTGATAAGAAGAGCTGGAACCTGTGTCCCACTGGTTGTCCTTCTGTCATGGCCATGGATCAGGGCCTGCACTAGAGGAGTCTCCCCCTGAAGCTGGCTCTGGTTTCCCTCCACCAGGCGTCTTTGGATCACACTGTGTGGCTGCTGACTCCATCACAAAACAGTGAAGGCAGGTCTAAGCCCAAGATCCAGGCCTTTGCTTCTTTATCTTATGACTTACAAACTTCAGGATGCTCACCCCAGGTCCACCCAGGCCTGAGAAAGTGGCTGGAGCCAGCCGAGGATCCCAGCAGCCAAAGACTTAAAGCAGAGTGAACCTGCAGATCAAATCTTCCCATCGTTCTGGGACCTCAACAGGTTGTTATTCAGCGAGAAATGGGAAGATGAGAGCAGTCTGGGTTAGATGACCCCCCCCCCCGACTGAAGGAACAGTTAGCAACCAGTATTGTGTTCAGAAAAAACTGTCTCAGGGAGGACTAGAAATTTTGGGTTTTTTTTTTTTTCCTCCTCTGACCTCAACCTAAAATGGGCTCCAGATCCTATGGTTAATGGCATGATATACATACACCTGGCATGCACAAGAGATAGGAGGATCAGGAGTTCAAAGTCATCCTCAGCTGTATGGCAAGTTCAAGGCCAGAGAAGTCTGCATGAGACCCCAGCTCAAAAAACAAAAAGGTTTTTTGAAAATATGATATGGGGACTGGAGAGATGACTCAGAGGTTAAGAGCACTGGCTGTTCTTGCAGAAGATCCAGGTTCAAATCCCAGAATCCACATGGCGACTAACAGCCATCTGTAACTCCAGTTCCAGGGAGTCTGACATCTGTCCTCTGTGGGCATTTCACGACATGGGTGCACTTACATGCAGGCAATACATTCATACACATAAAATAATAAATTTTAAAAATGACAGGACGTTCTGATTAGACTAGTGGACTATCTGGGGTCTTTCCCTCATCTTCAGCTACCCTTATTAGCCCAGTCACTGCCTGGACTCTGCTAGTTTAGCTTCCTCCCTTTGTAGGGATACCCCCACTTCTGTTTCTGCTTTATCCAGACTCTCACAGCTCTGCTGAGCCACTGGATACCTCCACTCACAGGAGCCAGCCTCCAGGACTGTTGTCTTTTCACTGCACCAACTGCACTCCAACATCTCTAAAGCCCTGCTGCTCACAATGCTGTGCTCAAATCAACAGCTTTACTGGCATTCTTCTAGTTTTTTGGTGGAGCTAGTGCCAGGCAAACACTCTACCACTGAGCTGCACTCCTAGCCTGAATCTTGTTGGTTTTTTTTTATATTTTATTATTTTTATTTTATGTATATGAGTGTATTCTAGCCTGCCTATATGTGAGTGCACCCATGTTGTGCAATGCCATAGAGATCAGAAGAGGGCTTCAGATTCTCCTGGAACTGGAGTTAAGGACAGTTCATAGCCGCCATGTGGGTGCTGGGAATTGAACCAGGGTCCGCTGCAAGAGCAGTCAGTGCTCTTAACCGCTGAACCATCTCTCCAGCCCCTGAATCTTGTTTGAACAAGACTCTTGTACACTTTCAAGTTTGAAAAACTGCTTAATATGTAATAATAGGGGCTGGAGAGATGGCTCAGTGGTTGAGAGCACTGGTTGCTCTTACAAAGGACCTGGGTTCATTTCCTAGCACCCATATGGTGGCTAACAGCCATCCTCACTCCAGTTCCAGGGGAATCCAATGCCCTCTTCTGACCTCTTTGGGTACTGCATGACACAAATGCACCTACCTACATGCAGGCAATACATGCATACACATAAAAATTTTTAATGTAAAAACAGGAGCTGGAGAAATGGCTCAGCAGTTAAGTGAGTTTGGTTCCCAGCTCCCACATTGGCTGGCTTACAACCACCTGTAACTCCAACTCCTGTATACATACATACAAACACACATATACATAATTAAAAATAAATATTTTTTAAAATATTATTTTTATTTTATGTGTATGAGTGCATTGCCTGCCTGTATGTAAGTGTACCCATGTCATGCAATGCCACAGAGGTCAGAAGAGGGCTCCGGATTCCCCTGGAACTGGAGTTAAGGATGGTTCGTAGCGACCATGTGGGTGCTGGGAATCGAACCTGGGTCCTCTACAAGAGCAGTCAGTGCTGTTAACCGCTGAGCCGTCTCTCCAGCCCCTAAAAATAAATCTTTTTTAAAAGATGTAAAAATAACCACACAAGCCAGGTATGGTGGTGCATGCATGCCTGTACTTCCAATACTCAGGAGGCTGAGGCAGGAGAACTGTCATGAGTTCAAGGTCAGCCTGGGTTATCTAAAAAAAAAAATGTATTATTCTCATGCATAAAATGCTGGTATGGTAGCTCACCTGCCCTGAGGATTTCTTTTTCATTAAAATTCTAATAAAATTGTAAAACCTTAAAAAAAAAAATGCTGGTATAGTGAAAGCCCATATTTTCTAAGCTGGTCTCTAGATGGCCTGGCTGCTGGCTGTCTGGACGGTCCACCTCTTTTTTCCACACAGTGCCCCCAACAACACTGCTCTTCCTGAAGCCAGGCTCCACTCCTGCTCTCCTCTCTTGCTGAAACCCCTCTTCCTTGCTCTCACTAGACCATCCTGGATGAGTGGCTTCCCATAGTTCATTCAGTAGAAGGCCTTTATTCTACATCTGTAATTCCACTTATACCTGTAAGTAGTGCAGGCCTCTGCCTCCTGGGAACATTCTGTCCTCCAGCTCCCTTCCTCTCAGCTCCTTTGGTCATGCATCTCATAGATGTTATTTTTGGATTTCACCCTCACCCAGCCTGGAGAGCCCTTGAAGTCAGATCTCTTTTACTCATCTTTATGTCCCAGGGCCTAGGTCAGTATACAATAAATGCCTCCTGGGCTCTGGGTGTGTGGCTCAGTCACAGAGTGCTTGCCTGGCATGCACAAGGACCTAGGTTATCTAGTACTAAATCTCTGATACTAAAAACAGAAAAAGATTAAAATGTTTAATTTCAGCCAAGTTTGGTGGCATATACCTGTCATCCCAGGATTCAGGAAGCAGAGGCAGGAGGATCACCTCAATTTGAGGTCAGCCTGGTCTCAATAGTGAGTTCCAGGCCATCCAGGCCTACATAGTGACCTGTCTCAAAAATTAAAATGACAGGTGTAGTGGCACACACCTTTAATCCTAGCACTTGGGAGGCAGAGGCAAGTGGATCTCTAGGAGATCAAGGCCAGCCTGATCAGCGTAGTTTCAGGCCACCTGGGCTACCGGGAGACCCTGTTTCAAAAAGACCAGGAAAGGGTCTGGAGAGATAGTTCAGCAGTTAAGAGTAGTGGCTGCTCCTGCAGAAGACCTGGGTTCGAATATCAGCACACCTATGGTGGCCAACAACCATCCATAACTCCAGTTCCAGGGAATCTGACACCCTCTTCTATCCTCTGCAGATACTGCATAACATGGGTGCATTTACATACATGCAGGCATAACACTCATAAAATATTTTTAAAAGACCAAAAAATAATAAGTAAAAGCAAAAATAAAATTCTGGGTTTTTTAATTTTGTTTTTGTTTTGTTTTGACTTTTTTGAAGCAGGGTCTCCCTGTAGCCCCAGCTGTCCTGGAATTCACTACATAGATCAGGCCTGCCTCTGCCTCCCAAGTGCTGGGACTACAGGCGTGCACCACCACACCTGGCATAAAATTCTGTTTTTATAAACTTAAAAGAACTTGTCCTTTAATCCCAGCACTTGGGAGGCAGAGGCAGGTCGATCTCTGTGAATTCAAAACAGCAAGCTCCAGGACTACATAGTGAGACCCAGCCTCAAGGAAAAAAAAAAAAAAGTTGTAGGCCAGCCTGGGCTATATAATATAGCAAATTCAGGCCAGCAGGACTACGTAGTGAGACTCTGGGATTGGGGTGGGGGACTCCTGAGGAATGGCAGTAGCTGCCCAGGCTCCCCCTCTCCACCTGCCCTCTCCCCTTGGGAGCCTGGGATTGTTTTTCCACCCTTGACCTCATGAGGCTTGGTGGTTCCTCCCAGCAGCAAGCTGCCAGCGCTGGGAAAGTGCAGTGAACTCAGAGCCTGAGCTGGGAAGAAGGGACTCTGCTGTTCTCATGTCCTACCTTTCCCACGGTGGCTTCAGCCACCAGGCCTCTCCCACTGTTGGGAAGTTTGTTCCAGAGCTATTCCAAGGAGGGAGATGGGGTGGGGGTGTGCTCCCAGCCTGTTGCCTCTTCACTCTCAAAGTCATAGGAGCTAACTGCTAGAGATCAGTACAGGTGCTGAGGCAGAGGAGAGAGGGGGAACACCTGGACCTCATTAGAAGGCTAGGGCTGTTATTCTAGGATGGCAATGTCCACAGGGAAACTGCTGGGTCAGGTAGGATGGTCCCCAGAACATGGAGAAGCACAAGAGTCCAAGCCCCTGGGAGCCAAAGAACCTGCTTTCCTCTCCCTGTTCCTCAGCTTTGCTCTGTTGGTCTCCTTTGGGGATGCTGGGATGGAGCTAAGGGTTTTCTGGAGGGGAAATCCAGGCTAAGAGAACAAGAGAAAGGTAAGGCCTGGTCAGAAAAGCAGCTGAGGGATTCACTTGCCCCCAGGGAGAAGTGGCTTCCACAGCATAGAAGTCCATAGTCTCTGGGCCCTTCAGAGTTCTCCATCTCTCAACTAAATGGAATCATAGTGGGGAAAATACTGATCCAATTTCTTTAGTGCTTTCCATTAGCCAGGCACTGTCCCCAAGTCCTACGTATGTGGAAGCTCCCAAAACTCTCACAGCAACCTTACCAGGTAGATGCTGACAATTTTATCCTCATGTAACAGATGAAGAAACTAAGGCACAGAGACTTAACTTCCCAAGTTACAGTATCAGGATTTGGTCCCAAGCAAGCTCTTAACTGCTGCCTCTCTGAGGGCAAAGACTGTGCATGCAGCCAACCCTGACCCCTCTTCCCTCTTTATCCTTACCCCAGCCCTATCCCCTCTGGGGGCTCCTTCAACCAGAATGGACAGAGGGAGACAGCTTCACAGAGACAGGTGGTTCAGGCCAGAGCCATGGGAACCCCTGATGCCCAGAAGAATGTGAAAACCTTCAGTGCTTTAGGCTGAAGAGAAAGAGCAAAGAATGGTCAGGTCTATGAAATAAGATAAATATGTGGGCAGCTCTGAGGGAACCTGATGAGCACAGGGAGTTATAACCCTAAGCTGGCCAGTTCTCTGGGCCCTGTGGCTTCACATGGCTCTTCCACTGGATTTCCAGGTTCCCTAGACTTCTACTCCTAAACAGCATAGTTCTCTACTGTCCCCAAGAAGCCCTGGGCTCTAAGGAGATGGGGGAAACTGAGCTGTGACAACAGGGATCCCGAGGGCCATCAGGCCAAGGAATATCCCAATGGAAGAACTGGGGAGGGTCAGGAGGAAGCCTTGCAAGTTGGCAGGAGAATGGAATCAGAAGGCTGAGGGTCTGCCCGCTTCCTGTCCCCCACCCTGCTCCCCAGGATATGGAGAAGAGAAGAGAGAAAGGGGCTCACCAGGTCCTTGGAGGTGCCAAGCCTCTTGAGGCTGTCCAGGGGCAGCAGGTCAGCAGAGTCCTTGTGTAAGAACTGAGTGGCCTGTTTGAGCCGGCGCTGCTGGCTCAGGTGGGCTCGGTCCTGAAGCAAGGCTTCCTGTCCTCTCCTCCTGTAGTCTCCCTCATTTCTCTTGGCCTCCTGCCCGGTGTTCATGGCTTCCTGGGGTAAGTAGGCAGGGATGTCTAGGTGTCCCTCCCCACGTCCTCTCTGCCCCCAGCTCTCTCTGCAGCTTCTTGCCTGTCTCTGTCCCTGAACTACAGCTCTCCTTCTGACAGGAGGGTCTCAGCAGGAAGAAAAGGAGAAATAAATAAATAAATAATGGGCAGGAGGAGCCGCGTCAGACACCAATTTCCAGAGATTGCAGTAGAGGGAGCGAGGCTCCAGCTGGAAAAACCCAGCCCTGGAAGAGAGGGAGGGCTGGCAAGGCCTTCAGACTGGCAGGCTGCAAAAGCATCCAGCTGCTGGGTCCTGGTCGGAGTGGGCGGTGGATGGTGTGTGCCCATGTTGTAAACTGTCAGGAGGCTGTGCCAAGTCATTTGACGAGGGTGTGCTTAGCGTTGTGTGGGAGTGTCAGCCTGTGCGCTTGGTATGCATAGGGGAGGCAGGCAAGCGTGTCCCTGCCCTCTATGTATGTGTGGACCTGGGAATCTGAGCACAGGGAGTCAGGGGGTCTTCTGACACCCTCCCAGTCTCTAGAAGTCAGCCACCCAGTTTTTCCTCCACCTGCTGTCCTCTGCAGCCAAGGTTGGGGGTGCTAGTCAGACAGCATGAAATTACCATTCCCTCCTCTCCCCCTGCCCATCATAGACCTGCCTTGTTTGCCATCCCCCTTGTCAGGTAGTCTCAGTGTCTCCCAAACTGCAAGAACAGAAATTTTCTAGTAATACAGACCCTCTTCCTTGTTAGATGCTGAAATCCCGGTGAGATGGTGAAGAAGGCTGGGGAATGTTCTAAGACCCAGTTAGTCTCCTCGGCTGAATTAGCCTGCATCTGTGCCAGTGACTCACCTTGGTCTCCTCCCCTTGTTGTTGAACAGTTCCAGAGTCCAAGCCAAGCCTAGCAACACAGTCCTATAATCCTAGCTGCTCAGGAAGGTGAGACAGGAGGATTACAAATTCAAGGCCTACCTGGACTACAAGCTAAGTTCAAGGCCAGGCTTTCAACTTATCAAGACCCTGTCTCAAAAATAAAAAGGGGATGGGGTAGTAAAGATATGACTAATCTGTTAAGAGCACATACTACTCTTTCAGGAGATCCAAGTTCCATTCCCAGCACTCATGTCTGGCAGCTCACCACCTGTAATTCCAGCTCCAAGGGATCCAGCCCCCTCTTCTGAACTCCTTGGGGCACCTGCACTCACAGGTGTACATTACACACACACACACACACACACACACACACACACACACATATATATATAAAATTAAAAATTAAAAATAAATCGGGCATGGTGGCACACACCTTAAGCCCAGCATTCAGTGGGTCTCTGTGAGATTGAGGCCAGCCTGGTCTTCATAGTGAGTTCCAGGCCAGCTGGAACCACAGCTTTAAAAAAAGAGGGGGGTGCTGGAGAGATGGTTAAGGCTGACTGCTCTTGCAGAGATCTTGAATTTGGTTCCCAGCACCCACATGATGGCTAACAACCATCTGTAATTCCGGTTCCAGGGGATCTGATGCCCTCTTCTGGCCTCTGCAGGCAATGCACACGTGATACATTTACAAGCAGGCAAAACACTCATACACATAAAATAAAAATAAATATTTTTAGGCCAGGTGTGGTGGTACATGTCTTTAACCCCAGCAGAGGCAGGCAGATCTCTGTGAGTTCAAGGCCAGCCTGGTCTACATAATGACTTCTAGGCCAGCTGGGGCTACAGGGAGATCCTATCTCAAAAAGACCAAAAAAAAATTTTTTTTAAGAAAATAAATAAAAACAAATTTTTTTAGCTGGGTATGGTAACACATGCTTTTGATCCCAGCACTTGGGAGATAGAGGCAGGCAGAAGTCTGAGAGTTCCAGGCCAGCCCTGTCTACATAAGGAGTTCCAGGCCATTCGGGGCTACAGGGAGACCCTGTCTCAGAAAGACAAGACAAAAAACAACCTTTTTTTTTTTTTAAATTTAATGTGTATGAGTGTATTGCCTGCATGTATGTAAGTGCACCCATGTCGTGCAATGTCTGTGGAGAAGAGGGTGTCGATTCCCTGGAACTGGAGTTACAGATAGTTGTTAGCCACCATGTGGGTGCAGGGAATCAAACCCAGGTAGTCTGCAAGAACAGTTAGTGTTCTTAACCGCTGAGCCATTTCTCCAGCACCAATAAATCTTCTTTTTAAAGTAAGAGGGCTGGGAATGGTAATTTGTGTGCTACGGCAAAGTAACAACACAGAAACAGTTACGCAGTCCCAAAACTCCAATCACTCAGGTGACTGAAGCAAGAGGATTGCTGAGGTTCAAGATTTGGGGGATCGGCTTGGGCAACATAGCAGTCAACAAGCAATACAAAACTATTGTCAAGGAATAACTACCTTGATCTCTAATGATGAAACAGGAAGAAACTTCCAGAAGCACTCAGCACTGTTAAGGAATAGAGTGGAGGTTTTCCTTCCTGAGACACTTGAAAACCATGCTACTTCTTCCACTTGTTTCATCTTGTGGCTCACAGAAATATCAATGTGGATGGATATCAGTTCAGAAATTTTGAGAGAAAACCTGAGGTGCTGAGATCTGGCTCATTCACTGCATGGGTTCTCCTCTGAGTGAAGTTCCCTCATATTCAGAAAATATTATTGTCTACAGTATGCTAATCACTGAACTAGCCTGAGTCTGTGGTGGTGACCAAGAGGAAGTACCAGCCCTTATGGTGTTCACAGTGTGAGACAGAAGCCAGGCAGCATGTGATTAAATATATAATATAGACTTGTATGTTCTGAGGGAAATAAAGGGAGCTCAGCTCAGGAGGACAGAGTCACTGAGATGGGTGATGGGAGTAGCTAGCCTCAGCTCACTCCTCCCTCTGACTCTGACAGACCTGTGAGACCTCTACCCAGCCTATATCACAGACAGCTGGAAATACCTCTACATGTGTTCTACACATGGTGTTTGGAGCAATGGTGATGGTCAAGAAGGGCCCCAAAAGGTAAGGTTTTCTCTGCCTTCCAGCCTCATAGGCCCTCAGGCTTGAAACCCTTCTAGAAAACATTCTGTCTTTGTCTAAAACCAGACTACGCTTTGTATTTGTCATTTGTTGTCAAATAATTATTATGGGTTATGTTTGCATAGTGCATGTATTGCAGGAATGACTTATAAAAGGACAGAATGCATTGATGACTTTTAATTATCCTTGGCAAACTCACTGAACCATGTGCTCTTGTGACCTGGGTACCTTATCTTATTTCCTGAGAACCTTAGGTTGCTACTCCACCCTAAGATAATGAATGAATGTGGGTATGCATAAGAATTAATGTATCAAACTGCTGAAAGATGGCTTGCATGTTTATTGAAAACAATGATGATTGCGAAAGAATGCTTGCTGATAAGGGTAGATGTGACTTTATGGTTCCCCAGTTGATCTGGAGAAACAGTTTTCGGTTTTGTTTTGTTTGGGTTTGGTTTTTTGAGACAGGGTCTTCCTATAGCCCTGGCTGGTCTGGAACTTGCTATGTGGATCAAACTGGCTCTACAGAGCCTTTGCCTTCTAAGTGCTGGAATTAAAGATGTGCACCACCACACCTGGTTGGAGAGACAATTTTGAATAAAAGGATAGGTGAGACCTTACTCTGAGACACAGTTCCAGGACACAGTTCAAGAGCAAAGTTCCTCAGCACAGTTCCAACAGATATCTGGGGAAGAAGGTATCCTCTAAGTTTGGGCCCACTCTTTTTTTTTTTTTTTTTTTTTTTTTTTTTTGGTCTTTTCGAGACAGGTTCTCCCTGTAGCCCCAGCTGTCTTAGATTCACTATGGAAACCAGGCTGGCCTCTAACGCACAGAGATCCACCTGCCTCTGCCTCCGAGTGCTGGGATTAAAGGCGTGTGCCACCACGTCCGGCTTGGGCCCACTCTTAAAAGACTAGAGTTCAGAGTCAAGCTGTTTTATTCAGGTATTAACAGTAATGTGGCATGGTAATGCTACACAGTATTAGTTACCATTTTCCTTGCTGTCATAAAATATCTGAGAAAAAGCTGCTTAAGGAAGGATTTATTTTGGCTCAAGGTTTGAGGACATAGAGTGTGAAACAACTGGTCACACCTCCACAGTCAGGCCACAGGGAGCGATGGACACTGCTGCTTGGCTGCCTTCCTCTTTTTTTTTTTTTTTTTTGGTCTTTTTGGAACAGGGTCTCCCTGTAGCCCCAGCTGTCCTGGAACTCACTGTGTAGACCAGGCTGGCCTTGAACTCACAGAGATCTGCCTGTCTCTGCCTCCCTAGTGCTGGGATTAAAGGTGTGTGCCACCACGCCTGGCTTTGCCTTCCTCTTTTTTATCCTTTCTATTCAGTCCAGGACCCCAGTCCATGGGATGGAGTCACTCATGTTCAAAGTACATGTTCTCTTCTCAATTAAACCTCTCTGGAAACATCTTCACAGACATACCCAGTATTCTGTCTCACAGGTGATTCCAAATCCAGTAAAGTTGAAAATGAAGATGAACCATCAGAGTGCATGTGTGTGTGTGTGTGTCTGTCTGTCTGTCTGTCTGTGTGTTTGTGTCTGTGTGTGTGCTGGAATTAAACCTAGATAGCCATGCTAAACATGTGCTCTACCCCCAAACTACACTCCAAAGCCTGTTGATGATTCTTGACTTGTACATTGAGCACTTAAGATGCAGCTAGTCTGAAATGAGATCTGCTGTAACTATAAAACCCACCTTCATTTGAAAACCAATATAGAAAACATTGTGAAACATCTCAATTATCTCTGTGTCAATTACATATGGATAATATGTTGAATCTGTTTGGTTCAATAAAATACTTTCTAAAGGTAATTTCACTGTTTCTTTCTTTTTTTTTTTTACTTTTTTTTGTGTGGCACCTAAAATTGTTAGTTTTGTTGAGATAGGGTCTCACTATATAGCCCTGGATGGCCTGAAACTCATTATATAGACCAGGCTGTCCTTGAACTTATACTGATCCTCCTACCTCTGTCTCCTAAATTCTGAGAATATAGGTGGGTGTCACCAAACCCATGTTATGTATTTTGTTGTTGTCACAATTCCTGTGATAAAACCTAGAGGCCTCAGTGGAGCACACTAAGTATGTGCTGTGCCACTGAGATATTTCCATAGCCCTGGCTACTGAAAAGCTTGAACACATTGTATCTCTATTGAACAGTGCTGGCTTAAACAGATATCACTGTTTGTTCCTCTAACCTGTATAATTTATTCTAGAATCTTTTAATGTTATCAGGATGTTCTTCATATCTAATATATATCTCTGCAACTATATACTTTCAAAAAAAAGTAGGGTCTCATGTAGCCCAGGCTTTCCTCAAACTTGCTATTGTAGCCAAGGATGCCCTTAAACTTCTGATCTGCCTCCATCTCCCAAGTACCAGAATTCAGGTGTGCATCATATTTGTTTCATGTGATGCTAGAGATTAAAATCAGGGCTTCAGCTGGGTGTGATGGCGCATGCCTTTAATCCCAGTGCTTGGGAGGTAGAGGTAAGCAGATCTCTGTGAGTTTGAGGCCAGCCTGGTCTACACAGTGAGGTCCAGGACAGCTGGGGCTATGGGGAGACCCTGTCTCAAAAATAAAATAAAATAAAAATAAAAATAAAATAAAAACGCAGGGCTTCATGCATGCTAGACAAACACACTACCAACTGGGTTATATTCCCAGCCCCACTGTAGCCATATTATGGTCCCTGCACTCTTGTTTAACCCTCAGAGATGGAGATTAATAGTATCCTACTTCCTTGTAATTCAAAAACCTTTCTTGGCTTTAAATAGCCTCAAAGCCTTTTCAATATTCATTTCTCAATCTTGAGTAGTGCAATTCTTGCCTCTGCTGGTAGGATGGGTTGAGCACGTGGGCCCAGTGAAGCCATCCAGACAAGTACCCTGCCATATAAGGAAATTCCCAGGCTGTTCTTGGTAGAATGGGTTATTCAGAGCTAGACAAATAGCTCCCTTGAGCCTGTGGAAGATTAAGAACAGCCAACTCTATTTCAGGCTTTCTCCTTTGGGCCTGTCAGATCTGCTGAAGACGTGAATGATGTGGTTTTCCAGACTTCTCCTGTCCAGCAAGTGTTCCAAGGACCCAGTGCCAACTTCTAAATTTGTTGCCAGGAGAGGAAACCGTCCTACTGCCACCCTAAAAGAAAGATCTTCCAAAGTCAACC